ATTTGAAAATTGGCCGCAAAAAATACGCCACAGAAAAAAATCGATGTTTCTCGACCCCTTCTCTAAGCTTACTAAGAAGTGTTCAGGAGCAAGAACTCCATAAGGAAATTCAAAAGGATAAAAATGTGGATTGGGAAAAGGATGTTTGGTGCAGAAACAACAAAATAGGTAGAAATGTATATTTAATTACTAAAAACACATGAGGACATCATCTTTTCAATTCAATAAATGACTTATAACACAAATCAACTAGACAAACCTTGGGTAAAAAAATTGACTAGGTAATTACTTGTCAAGTTAATTACTTGTCTAACTCAATGAAAGGTACTAATGGTAATACTGAAACCAAATAATACAAATGTTTAACTCACACTAAATCTTCAGCTTATACAGAACATAGTCAAATTGAAAATAAAAGGTAATACTGAAACCAAATAATACAAATGTTTAACTCACACTAAATCTTCAGCTTATACAGAACATAGTCAAATTGAAAATAAAAGGAAAGTACGAAATCACATAACTTAGAACCTAAGACGTAGAAGTTCAATCTTAATTAGGTCCCGCCCATAACATTGTGGTTGGCTTGCACGGTTAAACAAAGTTATAAATGAGAAACGTTAAAAAGGGTAAAAGGATGCTCGCGATTGTTGACTCGAGAATTCAGTTTTGAAATGCAGTGAAAGCCGCTTAAAGCGTTGAAGGAAATTGAGATCTTATCTCCATATGATTGTTGCACCAAAGATTCTCCTTTGCTAGAACCGTAACTTAATGTCAGTATAGATGACTGTGCACATTACGTTACGGGCCAGACAGAGATTCTTCAGTGCAATGACCAGGCACATGATTACAATTTCCAACAACGCTTTAAACGACTTTCACTGTGTTATATGCGGGAAACGATGTAAGCGGGTAACGTTATGAGCGGGACCTACTGTAACTGAAATAAACATTACAGGTGAGAGATCACAAAACAAATATCCAAGAACACATTAAAGCAACAAAACTTTGGTAGAATATTGACTCTAGGCCCCAGGTGGAGTCCCGGATCCTCTCCCAGACCTAGCTCCAAACTTCGCTCTAGACTTTGATGCTGGTGGTGGCACATCAGGATGCTGTTTCCGCCATTTCGCATCCTTCAGCCACTTTGCCAGTGCTTCTTCTGCATCAGACAAGTCACTGGACGGAAAAGCGGTCTGAAGAGCACCTAAAACAAAAACAATACAAAAAACAGCAAATTTAGAGTAGGAAAGCATAAGTTCAATTAAAATTTAAATAAGCTGAACTAAAAGTCACCTTGAAAAACTTTGTAGATGTTTAAGCTTCTTATAGCTATCTTATTTTTGCCTCCCTCCAGATTAATCTCCTTGGCGAGATTGTTTGTCATGATTTTCCTCAAAATAGAAACAGCACTAGCTTTTTCTGGGTTACTGACATTTGACCTTATGTAATTTCCCATTAAGTCAACCTGGAAATAAAAGAATCCGTTAACAAAAGCAACTATTGAAACATAAGACTTAATGAGACACCAGAACCACAAATATACTAACAGCTGCACACAGATTTGAATCATTGGCACTTAGGAACTTCTCAAATGTTTCCAGGCTTTCAGTCGTATTCAAGGGTAAATTTGGCATGTTCACCGGAACCGCCAACCTTCTGGCACCTGGTTCCAGGATTCTTTGGATCCTTGCCAAGTTCATCAAGGCCATATCAAGCTTTTGCGATACCTCATGAACATCAATATTTAGTCTGCTGACAGACGTCTGTAGTACTTTCAATCCGTCATCTAGAAGACAAACCCAAGGGAATAATCAGTCCAACTCACTACCATGACACTAAAATTTAACTTTGTGAACACTCACCTTGACTAACATTTCCAGAGAATAAATTCCGCCGTCCATCAGACATAGAAGACACTTTAGAAGTGTGAGGTTCATTAACATTGTGAACAGATGAACTTGTTGAAGGCCTATCTGAAGAGATGTAGAATGAAGTAGTCCTAGTTAAGGAAGACTTGTGTGGCTGAGACACAGGTTTAGCCATCTGCAAAGTGAAAAGACAGTAACACAACCATAGGGAGATAAACACACACAATGAGAGAGAGAACGCCAAAATCAATCCTTACAGTCTTGATAGGGGAACCTTCCTCTATAGTTACTTCCAGTACGTCTGAACAATCAATATAACTGTCTGGAGTATGAACAGAGCCAGTTGGAGTGCTGAAAGTTTCCTGAAAAAAAAGAAAAAAGAGTAAAAAAAGAACTTTAGATAAATTTAGAAGTAGAGACAACAACCATGACACTTCGAACTGTGCTTACCAATTTCATTGGGGTTACCTCCCACTTAGGTTTCATTGAGGTCCCTGGTGATTTGGGAGATAGGGATTTGGATTTGAATGGAGATTTGGGCGAAGGAGTCTTCGATGTACGTTTGGATAGAACTTGGCCTTGAGATGACACGCTTGAGCTCCCTGCTGTTCCTTGCTGTGCTGTTCCAAGCAGAGAAGACTTGGACGACGACTTAAGTGTCATTTTGGCGGCAGCAGCAGCTCGTGCTGCTTTCAATCGCTCCATCGTATCTTTCAGTTCCTCGTCCCTCAGCTCCTTGGTTGAACGGCGCCCCTTCCGTCCCTTGGTTGGAGCAGACGTCAGGGTAGAAGCAGGCTTAAGGGTTGAAGCAGGCTTAAGGGTTGAAGTAGGCTTAAGGGTTGAAGCAGGCTTGACGATAGAAGCAGGCTTGACGATAGAAGCAGGCTTGACGATAGAAGCAGAATTGGGGGTTGAAGCAGACTTGATGGGAGGTGGAGCTGGCACACTCTTGTTGGCTTTCTTGACAGGTATTTCTTCATCTGAGCTCTCCAGAAAGGCAGGCGTAAACCTCTGCCTTTTACCTCTTCCTGTAGCAGCAGGCTCAGCTTCTGTCTCATAATTTGAGTCTTCAACAAACTTAGGCACCGCAGATCTGGCCTTCAAATAGGTATCTATTTAAAAAAAAAAAAAAAATAATCGAATTAGAAACAGAAAATTAAAATAATCATAAGAGACCTAACTATTGGACCACTTCTTACCATAAAATCTCAAAATCTGAACTCTGTAGACCCTCCAGGAAAGGTCTACGGGGCACTGCATTTTCACCATATTGCTGATAGGCTTCGACTCAGGAGGCCAATATGTATCAATCTCCATGTTCTCGTCTAGATATCCACCCTTCAGCCAACTTTTTAGACCGACATCAATGTAATCCTTTGGATCCTCCTCAGTGGGCAGGAATTTCGCAACAACAAACTGAAAAGAGATAAAACTGGGAGAATACAGCAGAGGAAAATTGCCCATCACAACCACTCGGTTGAGTGGAGGATGGGCACACACACAAAAAACTCCCCATCAGGCATAAGATAACATTTGCTGTGCAAGTCAGACAGGCGATAAACACGCCTCTCTCTTTCAAGCAAAGACACACGATAAATTCCTAGCTGGGATGAAGGCAAGGGATACACATAGTAATCTTCAAGTTTACTAAACTTACAACCAACAAGGTACACTCTTCTTTGTCTACAAACTATGTTCTGAAGAACAACAATGTCGCCGTCTTTGGTTTGGAAGCAGCTATCAGCTTTACCTAAACGTAACTTAAGGCTGCCTGCCTTCAGCTTCTTATACTGTTGACCATCAACAACTTCATTTAGAACTCTGTGTTTGAGGGAAACATTTGCACAAGTTGGTTTAGCTGGAAGTAGAACAGAACTAGAAGTCTTCTCTTTATCTCTGCGAGCAAGCTGCTGTAATGGGTGGAGACCAGACCTCAGAGCGTCCTTAATCGACTTCAACCTGTTTTCATACTTGAAAGCACTAATATCATCCAAGGTTAAGTCCTCATCAAGTTCATTAACAATGTGAAACAATGAATGGATGTTATACACCACAAACTTCCTGCCATAAATAACAGCAGAGTGAGAAATAAATGTTCTGAGAAGTTCCACCACGAGTTCACGATGAACTGCAAAGAGAGCTCTACTGCACATGATGTAAACACTACAATGAAGCAGAAGGAAATGCTTGTAGATGTTGGAGTCAACCAGATCCTTGAAAGCAAGAATTCCATCGTAAAGAAGGATACGTCTGAACTCTGTACACTTGTAACTGCTGAAGTACTTCAAGGAGAGTGGCTTCCTGTTGAAATCGCTGGGGCAATATGGCTTCAGGAACTCAAAAACACTTGAGATGAGGTTAACTACCTCATGATGAAGCTTCCAAACACCAACTTGATTTAACCAAAAGTCAAGAAGCCGTTTAAATGCCCCTCCGTAAATAAGATGCATGGGATCGTGACGAAATTGAGTCACCATGCCAGTGCCACAAGCCTCAAGGGGTGAGATTCCCTTGTGATGTTTTGGCTGGTTTCTGTGGAGAAAGGACTCGTCAGAGCGAAGAGGAGCATCAAGATCTAGAAAGACCATCCTGTTGTCAATGTACTCTCCATAAACCTCACAACTCTCACAAGCAGCATAACCATTGTGAGTTTCAATACGCTTAATGGCCTGACGAGCAACAGCATCTAAAACATAGAATCGCACAACAAACTTGTACACTTTTCCTTGGAAAGTGTAACCATTTAACATCAAATCTTGGACTTCTGCAACATAGTCAGCCAAAAATTCTTCAACACTTTTAGGATCATGAGACCCCTTGAAAACAGCAATAATAAATGGTTCATTGATTGAACCAACGAGATGGCCCAAAATTGGCCAAAGTTTAGAGGGAACACCTTTCTTTTTCAATGGCAGCCCATCAATACCAATGTCTACAGTGACCTGCTTATATCTGAGAAGATATTCACCAAGTGAAAGGGAATCAAGGTTAGTGCGAATTCCTTTGTACCAAAACAGACCACCTGATGGTAACTCTGAAATCTGAAAATCATAATCACATGCAAACAATGTAGTGTAAGTCAATGGCATGTTAGGAAAAACTGCACTCAGCCTGTGAAGCAAATGATCTAATTTAGTCATGGACAACACACCAGGCTCTTGAGCCCATTCCCGTACTGAGTCAATGACAAACAGCTCTCTCTCTCGTTCATTCTGAAACACAGGCCTAACATCTTCATCGCTAGCAATATCATCCTCACGATCATTTTCAGAATCAGTTGAACTTCCCTCATGGACGTCATCACCAGGGAGCTCAGCACCATTACCATCACCCAAATTACAAACGTCACCATCAGGAACATTCTCAGGGGCGTCGCCACCAGGAACATTGTCAGGGGTGTCACCATCACCAACAATCTCAAGATCTTCACCTTCACAATCATCAGGACCAGTGTTGCAAGAATTCAAATCACAGGCCTGCTCATTAACTACAATGCCACCTGCATCATCAGCGATGTCACTAGAAGAGTCATTAGCTAACGTGTTAGCGCTGCCTAACTGAACCATCAAAGTATCCAGGCGAATCCTTTTCTCAACAGCCTTACAGGCTTTGCGATTAAGTGATCGCTTAAATGAAGACATGGTCAAGTAACCCTCCACATGCAGCAATGAAAACAATGGAAGGACGACAGATAAACACCCAAATCAACTTACAGGAGTATCGCTCTCCTCATCGGACGAAGACATGTTTCTCGGCAATGTAATTAGGCCACCTGAAAAAAAAAAGAAAAGAAAAAAAAGACATTAAACAGAAGAGAGAGGAGCATACATGATAGGAATATCAGCTCTATTCTCCCTAACGGAGGCACACTAGATTAAAAAGAAATAGAAACTTGGAACCATGGATATTGAACAGTAGTGCGTACAAGTGACAACGAGAGGTTAGGTGAAGTAAACTGTGCTTAAATATTCCCAATCCTGGTAGGCTGAAGAAAACCAAGCAGAACTAACAGATATTGATACAAGAGAAACGACCTCTTGCCATAAAAATTGCCTCGAATAAAAAAGGAGCCCTCCCAGATAGTCCAGAAACTGCAAGACCAGCGAAAAGCCCGCGCATTCTGCGGTTTGGGCACCAGCGCAACTGGGCATAAATATAATCTCAGAAAAAACTTTTCGTAGCTACTTTAACTAGGGCGTATCAATTGCCAACAATTCAGCACATTATAATTGATAAAGGATGCAAGAAAGTTAGAAAATACAAAGACAGGAAAAAGCCCGCGAAACGCATCGGCGAAGATTCTAGTCCGATCCAGCAAGAGAATCATATGAAATCTCATGGATTTCAGTGGATTCAGAACTTCTGGTGATAGAATTCAAACATTTCTTTAAGTTTTACAAAGTACTATGGATAGAAACTAAATTATTGAAGATCTCAGAACCGGAGCCGCGACCTGGCCTAACCTGACGCGTAGGCTTCCAATGTCCACTGATTTGAGGCAAAGAACAGAGCGAGAAGAATATTCAATGTACTGAGCTGTTTCGTCCGAGATCTGGCGTGAATATTTTAACTAATTCCGTTCAATTCTTGCACTAATAGAATTAGATTCGAGAGGATTCTTACCTGCCCTGCCGGCGAACTAGACTACGGATCGGGACAAAGACGCAATGGCGGATGGCGTCTCCTCCTCCCAGCGGCCCGGCCGAGCCAAACATGGGTGCCAACAAACGAACAAAACCTGTCACAAACTTATAGCGAGAAAAATGTTTCACATGAAGGGATTTGAAGATGATTAGTTTGACATACCTTTAAAAAAAATTAAATGTCAGATGAGCACCTTGGATAGTAAAAATGAACGCGGTGAAAGTATGTGTTGAACGTTTAACTGTTGGCATTATGGAGCTCACCAATGGCGGGTCATTCAAATGCTGCAGAAGGAACTTAGCAAAATATCAAGCATTGTCGTCTCGCCATCCCGGTTTGTGAAGACGTCTCGCTGAATTCTTGAGACTGAGGCGCACTTTAATGAAATTAAAATATTTCTGTCTAAAATCTGTCCATTTTTTATTAATTTTTTAGTCGACGTACAATCGTTGTCATTTCGACGTCGATGGCTAAAGGTGTCGTTTCTTGTCCTAAACGTTCTGTTTACGGGATGTTTTCCGACTAGACTTGAACGTAATGACCACAAGCCTCAAACTGAGCATGCTCGAAATGGTGCAAATTTCGCGGCTGAAATCGACTTCGACTAATGGTCGACGGCCCGGACCTCGAATCGACCTCGAATCGACTTTTCATTTCTGGCTGGGATTTCCCACAGTTTGGACGCGAGTTCCACGAAACGGCCTCCAAAATCGAGTGCTCTGATTTGTTTGGAGGGAGCCTGGAGTGGCACGTGATTGATGATGCACTTCCCCGGTCGTGTGACTCACGTGCTCTACGCGTGCTCGCTAGTCGCCGCCGCCCGACGGCCGACGGGTTGGCGCCCCTGCGAGGCTGGCAACCCGTTTGACTCGACGTGAAGCGCCTAGCAGGTAGACCACTCATTCGACTCGGCCGACGTACGTTTAGGATAGAACTTTATTTCAGATGCAAGACCACAATTGATGGTCTGCCTTTTCGAGCCCGGCACTACTCAGCTTGCATTTCACAACGAGGATAGGCCGTAGAGTCGTCCTAGAACTGTAGAACTAGCTCAAGGCGAGGCCTTCTCGGTCGAGCAAGTGAATTTGTGCATGTTTGAACAGAGGATTGGTGTGGGTGATGAATCGCCAAAATCAGAAACACTCCAAGAGTTAGTAACAAATGTTTTCTGAAAGGGACCGAATAAACTTCACATTTGATGTTCAATCTTTATTAAAAGTTTATTTCACAACAAACACTGTTCTACAGGGCACTTGGATAGGAATCTACTTCATTAAAAATACTAACATACAATTAAGGCTGAACAAATTTTCTTCTTTTTTTTTTCAGCTGAAAACTTCTGTAGGGAAACAGAATTATTGATATAAAACAATTGATACTTATCACATTTTTTTTTCTGATTTTTAACATGAGTCCATAACATTTTACATCATCAATTATTTGAAATAGCTTGGAAAAGCTGTACATTAAGATTTTAAAATCATTTAAGAGCTGCACAAGGAACACAAACCTAAAATCCTCTTAACTAAAACTGTGACCCACAAGGTAAAAGAACTATCTAAAAGAGAATAATGTTAATTTAGACATTACTACAATTCAGGCTAGGAATGCGCTTCAATAAAAACACAGGTTCTAATATATCACAAATTTTAAAACGGATCACCTAAGAGGAAAATCATTAAAGTCATTTACCATAAAATGACAGGGTATCTAGTCTACATTTTATAAAAAATACAGTGCAAACATGCACCCACACACAGAGGAATACACAACATGCACTTTTTTCCCGTAACAATGTTTTTCGTTTTTTTTTTTAAATTTTCTTTCCCATTAACATGCACTTAGTATTACTTCTGAAACATCATCCAACAACAAAGGGATGTTCCAAAGCTTGAGCAGCAGTAATGCGTGTATCAGCATCAAGATCCAAGAGGCGTGCTAGAAGATGATAAGCGGAGTCAGGGAACACATCATCTGCCTCTTCTACATTATTCACTTGCAAAGGATCTGTTTTCAGAGCATCAATCTGTTCCTTCAAGCACAGGCAATTGCTTGGATCTTCTAAGGGTTGACAGCAGTTTGAGCACCTTCAGAAACAAAGAAGGGACGTTAGATGTTGATGTTAGCTGCAGATTTAAAACTAGAAGTGTTCCTCATTAAACTTACTTCTCAGAGCTTGAAGATGAAGACGACCCAGTACTTTTGTCTTTCCTGCGCTGACGCATGCGAATGCAAAGTTTTTTCAGGTCAAGTGGCTGACTGGGTTGGCTGCACACAACCATTCGGCCTGAGGGATTCAAAGATTATTAGATTAACGAGTTTCCAAACATTTTAATAAAAGTTTGATTAAAAACTAAACATATATATTACCCAAACGTTTTGCAGTTTCCTTTATTTTGTCTGTCCCAAAAACTGTCATAATCTCAGCGAGAGCAGTGAGATCATCAGGTGAACGAAAGAATGGATAGCAGCCACTTAAAACACACAATAGAATGACACCCACAGCCCACATGTCAACAGCTGTAACATGAAGAAAACCAGTATTGTATTAAAATATCAATAATAAACAAAAATTAAAATAATTGCATCCTGAAAGTGAAGTACAATACCTGTGGACTGTAGAGGACTACGAAGAAGTACTTCTGGAGGTCTGAAGCCTGGAGTTCCAGCTCTTGGAGCATTGTGAGGTTTTCTAGAAAGACATATTGTGCACACCTGTGACCTACCCACACAATTGCAGTGGGGTGATGATGGTGTGTTTGTACGGTGAACAGAGCCATTTGCACTAGGGGCTTGTGGCTTCGCAAACACAATTTTATGGTCTTTTTCATTGTTTTTCTCCCCATTCATGAAAACTTTAAGCATGCGAGTCTCATTTGGCGTTACTGGACTCATTTGTTGTGATTTGACCTGATACAACAAAAAGAAGCTTGTCACTCCCCAGGAAACAGGTAATGTGCGATGAACCAACTTTAAGTAAATTAGAAAAAGCAAAAAAGCCTCAGTAAAAACTAACCTGAGAATTCTGCACTCTGACAATACTTGAACCAGCCACATCATCCTTTGTATTTTCTGGTGCCAAAGTTCGGAATTCTTTGCTACCATTAGGCGAAAGAGTAATAGGGTCAGCGGGGAGTGGGCTGTTGAGTAAAGCTGACCTAGAGTTGGAATTCAAGGTCTGACTCAACACTTGCCTGGAAGGAGCCATGAGAGGAAATCGAGGAGGAAATGAATCACACTTCTTGACATTATCATCGGGTACATCATCAAAGAGAATTTTTCTTTGGAGTGAGCTCCTGGAACCAATCTTGTGTACAAGGCTGGGTGGCTTTTCTTCTGCTTCCACTTTAACTTTACGCAAGTCTAATGCCTGCTTCTCATTGCTTGATGTTGGGTTCTCTCCAAATCTAGCCAATCTCTGATTTTCATTTTCACACTTGGTAGGGGAAATATTTTCCGTGTTAGGATGATGTTTATTCTTGCGGGGAGTTTTTCTGCTCTGAGATGATTCAATGGCATCCTTCACTGGTGACTTGAAGTGCATAGCATTAAATGTTCTCTGAGTATTTGTACAGTTCTTGTTGGTGATATTTTGAAGCCTCTTAGCACGACTTGACATTTGTTGGAGGTTGGACTTGTTAGAAAGATCCACATCATTAGACATTTTAAGAGGATTATCTGGAGTCTTGATGATATTGGTTGAATTGCTCAAAGCCAGAGCCGGTCTTTTGGCTGGATTCTCAAAGTTTTCATAATGGGTCACGAATTTAGTATCCTGAAAAGCAGTGTAATTTAAGTTACACTACAATTTCATGAATTAATAACATTGCAATAGTTATAATAATGTGCACCAACCTCGACAGGTTCCTTTTCCCGTTTCCTTTTGCGTGACTCTTCTGGGAGGATAGAAACCATTTTTGAAGTTTCTTCAACAGGCTGAGAAAGACCAAAATCAACCAAAAGAAATCTGAAAGAAACCAAGTGTGTTTTACAGGTGGTTTGCTACATACAAGATACCAGTAAAGATAAAAGTTAAAACACCCACTGCTTGGCTTCTCTATCATAGAGGAAATTGCTTGGCTTAACATCTCTGTGAATTATGTTAAAGGAGTGAACTCGGCGTAAAGCAAGCAATAGTTGCTTCATATAATTTCTGGTTTCAGCCACTCCCATCAACATAACATATTCCTGCATACAAACAAAGTTCAACATTTAAATAATATTTAAGAAAAGGCTTGAATTGATAATACAAGTATGATGACTCACATGAAATCTTTTGTGTGGTAAGTACGGCATGATGAAAGCAATGCTATCATGATATCGCATGCAAAAGTGAACTCCAACCACATTATCACAACCACTGAAAGATATACAAGACATTAGAAGCGTATAATAGAAACTTGAACCTAACAGCTCTTGAAATAAACCAGTACTCACCCTATGTCTTGCAAACATTTTAATTCTCGCTCTGCCCGAGTGGGATGAGTGGTAGGTATCAAGTGCTTTATTGCAAATTGATGTTTCAATGTACCTTCTTTCAAACTAGCCAAGAAAACGGAGCTGAAGGTCCCCTCTCCAATTTTACCATGTACCTTGAAAAACTTACTGACTGCAGGAAGACTGCTCAATAGATAATCAATCTGAGCTCGTTCTTCTGAAAAACAGAGATAAAATGGATTTGAAAGTTATATGAACTGCTTTTTTAAATGAAACTAAGTAGGAATATAGACTTACTGTTCTTTTTGGAACTTTTGCTCGCAGCCCCTGATTGAGACACCTCACCGACATCACTGTCTTTCTCCTGGCTCCGATGCACTTCTTCTTCACTACCATGTTCTCTGGCAGTAATATTGGAATTTTCGAGGGGATGAGGGGCTTGATGCTTGGAGACCTCATTAGCGCAGGGTTGGGCAGGCTCCACCCCGTAGAGATTGTGTTGTACCAAGTCAGCACCAAGCTGGTGATGCGGGTATGATGTTAAAACTTCCATTGTATAACTTCTGCCCCCAGTGATTTTTAAGCTGATATGGTGAGAGCTAAAAGAGAAGAACAATAAGGTTTCAAATGTTCAGCTTGCACAAAGCACAGTTGCAACGTTTAAATGTCAAAAATATGTAATTTAACTGAAAATAACAACTTTGATGACTGAACATCAGCTATGAACAGACAAAAAACTGTACATGGGTAAAAATGGGTTCTAGGGGTTACATAAGACAAGTATAACATTGGAAACTGGACCTTTAAGAGCCTTGTTTACAGTGATGACCATAACCTCACATTTCATCACTAGTCACAAAAGAAGGCTCCTACAAGAAATTTCAGCATCACTTACATCTCACATCGACCTAAAAGTCTAGAGGTCGTCTAACGCCACCCGGCTGGTGAGCTGGTTTCTAAACCATGATGATTCAGACGGTTTTAAGATCTCTTGTTGCCGTGTCAAAGTCCCGCCCGCCGGCCTCTGCTCCGTCCGTAAAAACCCCGCCAAGTGCGGGCCGCGTCCGCGTCACGACTCGAAGTTTGCCGAAGTCGGGCCGAGCGAGCCGAAGGTTGCCGAAGGTGCCCGAGGGCGGCACAGTGGCGGGAGCTCGGTAGAGCTCGGGAGCGAAAGGGCGCGGGAATGTGGAGCCGCGAACAGCGGGCGGCAAAGCAAAAAACCCTTTCGCCTGAAAGCAGTTGATGCGGTATTTGTGCGAGCATCGAGCAGGAATGGGAATTGAGGCCACTTTGACGTCTAAACAGATCCCCAGCGGAGGGGCGGACGATTGCAAGCGGGGAAGGGAGGGGGTCAGAGTTCATGGGGTTGCCATGACTACGACACTTGCTGCACCTAGTGTCTGCTCCCCGGTGCTGTGCATCATGCACCTGCTAGCAGTACGTTGGAGGATTTGAGGATTTGACTTTGAGAAACGGGACACCACCGGCGATTGGCGATGCGAGTGCCCTACGCCGTGCCGCGGCAGACGCTGCGGGCGTACGACTGCTCCAAGGAGACCGGCCGCTTGAAGACAGAGTCCCGGCGACTCCTCAAGGCGGAAAGCGACGCGTGGGACAAGAAGAACGCCCCCACTCTGAAACAGCTCGCCGTAAAAGCGCTGGTTCAGAACTTCAGCGGTAGGCATCATAGTGCTCCATCGCGCCCCGTCGGCTCGACGACCCCCGTGTCCAGCAGACGATTCCGTCCTAGAGTCGTTTTCGTCGCTCTGTCTCTCTCTCACTCATGGAGCGTCCCGTAGAGGTTCGGGAGAGACAGAGCGACGAAAACGACTCGCGGAGTCACACTGCAGGGATGTGTTCCTGCAGGGCGCACGCCGCTTGACTGCCTCCCCACCGAGGACTTCCAGCAACTGCTGGAGACGCTGCCGGCCACCGTCCCGTTGGAAGTGAGCGTCCCTCTGGTGCCCGATGGCGTCTACTGGCACCGGCTCGCCTCCCTCACGTGGCCCTCGGTGAGCTTCCCTAGCGATTCGGGGAGTCGTTTTCGCCGCCCTCTCTCTCTCGCGCGCAGGGGCGTCCCGTCAAGGTGCGATAGAGCGACGAAAACGATTCTCGGAATCAGTCTGCTGCTGGAAAGACCCTGGACAGCGGCGACGGCACGATAACCCTATTGCAAGCAGACCAACAACGTCGTGGCGGAGCACGGCGGTTCGTGGCGACGCCTGGTACTGGAGCGACGCCTGCAGCAGGAGCTGGAGGCCGCGCTGCCCCCCATGCTCGACGAGGCCCTGCGCTTGGCCAGGCTGGCGGGCCCCCACGTGCGGCGCCTGCGCCTCGACCGGCTGCTGCAGACGGCCCTGACGCAGCCCGCGGCGGGCCACGCCGCCAACCTCGACTACCCCGCCCTGGCCCCGCTGGCGCTGCCGGGCGGCTGGACTCCAGACCTGCCCACGGAGCGCCGAGAGCTGCACATGTTTGACACGGAGCTGGACGCCTTGCAGGAGGACCTGTGCAACCTGCTGGGCTGCCTCACTAACCTCGAGGTAGGTTTTACTTACATTTTGTCCCCGCCAGCCGTGGCGGACCGCGTCCTACGATGGGTAGCCGTCGGCGCCGTCGCCTTCGCGGGCGTGGCTCGCGCGGTGCGGCGTCGGGCCCCCTTGGGGGCCTGCGCCGCCCTCAGCCGCGTCCTGGCGGCCTTCCTCTTGCAGGAGCTGGACGTCATGTTCGGGATGCACGACTTCGAGAAGAACCTCTCCGAGCCGCCGAACGTCGTCAAAGTGGCGTGCTGCGAGGCACTCGGCAAGACTCTGAGCACCCTGCAAGCCTTTCGCAGACTAAGGTGAGCGCGGCGCTCCGCCGCTGCACTGGGTCAGTGGTGTGCACACGCACGCACCCCGCGCGCGCGCCTCAGCGGCTTGGCCGCTCGAGCCGCCCGCTCGGCGTGCTGCTGAAGAAGGACTTTTACTGCACCGGCTGGCTTGTTGCGCAGAGTGCGCCGCAGCCAACTTCACCTGGAGAAGCTGGCGGGGCTGCTGGAGCCGATGCATGGCAGCGCGTCGCTCACGGAGCTGGACCTGAGCCACTGCTACCTGGACGACAAGGGCGTGCAGGTGGTGTCCGCCTTCCTGCTGGACCAGGCGTCCCTGCGCGTGCTGCGCCTCGTCAACGACAAGTTCGGTGAGACACTGCACTGCGCGCGGCGCACGGCCGCCCGAATTGGACTGACTTGCAGTGTGGCCGGCAGGAGCGCGCGGCGCCACGACCCTCGCCAAGTCGCTGCTCAGCAAGACGTGCCCGCCGCTGGTGGAGCTGGACGTGAGCCTCAACTCGATCGGCGACGTCGGCGGCCACAACGTGCTCATGGCGCTGTTCCCGCGCGACAACCGCATGCCGCTGCGCGACCCCGCCGAGGACGAGCACGTGCGCGAGATGATGCAGGCTGAGGAGAAGGAGCGACTGAGGCGCGCCGCGGAGGCCACCGAGGATGAGCCGTCCCACGAGGGTGAGGGACGCCCGACGACGCCGACCTGCTGAGTGATTCCGAGGGTCGTTTTCGTCGCCCTGTCTCTCTCGCACCTATACGAGGCGCCCCATGAGTGCGAGGGAGACAGAACGACGAAAACGACTCTCGGAAAACGACCCTTGCTCATGCCCTCGCCCTTTCCCGCAGGCATCACCATCTTCCGCGGGCTGGTGCAGCGCGCCATCGCGGGGGAGCTGCCACTGGAGGTGCCCGCCGCGGGGACGTCGCCGTCGGCGGCGGAGGACCGCGATGAATGGGACGTGGAGCCCGAGGACCAAGTGCGGAAGGCGTCCGCGCTGATGGCCGTGATCGCCGAGGCCCGCCACTTCCAGCGCGAGGAGGCCGCGGCGGCCGAGGCCCGCGCCGAGGAGGAGCGGCGGCGCAGCGAGGCGGCGGCCAAGGCGGCCGAGCGCTGGGAGGGCTGCCCTGAGCGCCTCAAGGTCCTCGGCATCGCCGCGTGCCGGCTGGGCGCGGCCTCGGGGCACACCGCGGCCAGGCTGCTGCAGTGCAACCGCGCCCTGACCGGCATCAACCTGGCCAACAACCACCTGGGCCAGGTAGAGTGCCACCCGCAGCCGCAGTGCTCCTCCAGCTGCACCTCACCCAACCCTCCCGGCGTTTCCAGGTGGATTCCTAGTGGACTCTCGCCCCGCCCTTCGCCGTCCCCGCGGCCTTGACCCGCGCCTTGCAGGCCGACATCCTTCCCCTCAGTAACTCCTGCTCCTCCTCACACCGCCCCGTCGCGCCTCCCGGTGGAGCCTCCTTGACGGCGCACTGCTTGCAGGAGGCGTGCGGCGCCGTGGTGCGCGCGCTGCGCGGCAACCCTCGCGTGCTGCAGCTGGACCTGCGCATGTGCGGCGCCAGCTGGGCCGACCAGGCGGGGCTGGAGCGCGCCGTGGGCGCCAACAACGCGGCCCTGCGGAAGCCGCTCCCACTGCGGGACATGCTCGCGGTCAGTGCGGTAAAAATGGATTTGGTGACGGAGATTCGAACCCGCGACTAAGTGACATTGCCGTTGGAACAGGAACGCGAGGGCTATCACCGCCTGCGGCTGGCGACCACCACCGAGGTGCTGGGCCGGCAGTGGGACCGAGCGCAGGGCCTTCCCCGCGGACAGCGCACCAGCCTGGCCGGCACCGTGCGCAGCGACGGGGACGCCGACGGCTCCGCGCGCCTCGGTCCGGCAGGGCCGGCGTTCACCGGGTCGGCCTCCACGGGGGGCTTTAGCGGGCTGAGCCAGGGCAGCCAGGGCCACACCGGCAGCGCCTTGACGACGAACAGCGCAGCCACTCCCAACGGACCCGCGGGGTGAGTGCATCCCAGTGCATCCGCACCCCAGCAAACTGGTTCAAAGAATCTATATCGTCACACACTCTCTCGCACTCATCATGGGGCTTTCTGATGGGAGAAGGAGAAACAGTGCAACACAGTGAATCAGTCTGCTGATTGGCCTGACAATACTCGTTACATGAATGTGACTTCTCCATTTCAACAGGTTGCGCCAAACTAAGCCTGCCAGCAATCTAAGCCAGAGCCAGCTGGGAAGCGGCAGTGGTATGGCAAGTTTAAGGTCAGGGAGCAGGAGGGCAGAGTCGTCCACTTTATCCCAGCCATCCCATCTGTCGGGCATGAGCAAGGGAGGCAGTAATCTGACCGTGAAATGACATCACGCAGGTAATCAGTGTGCAGAGGGGTGACAGTGTAAAACTCAAGTACATAATGCAAACATCGGAAAATATTTACTTTCAAAGACAATTGTTCATAGAAGTGGAAGATCAGTCTTTTAAATTAAAGAGTTCTTATAAAACATAAACATAATTCAAAAATATAGTACAGATTAAGTGATAGTAATAAAAATATAAAGTTCTTGAAACAAAGAAAGAAAGAAATAATAATAATAATAAAAGACAACGAGTAAAACTAGACCAGTACAGCTAAATTGTGAAATTATTCTTCAATCAGCAGCAATTTCTGCAGATAAATCCTTCTGATGCATCATACCTAAAAAGCAGGAAAGATAAAAATCTGAGTATAACATAATGTCACTCTCCAAATAAATTCAATAAAGGTTATCAGCACTTACACATCGAAAGAACATCCACTGCAAAATAGGTCCTGACATTTGGTACAGATTTGGGTGCAGGAGCTGCATAAAGGAGTGTCACAAAAGGAACAGCAGCACATATCTAGAGGATTCCATGCAGTGCATTTGGAACAAGGGGCTTCCTTCACTTTGAAAGGTGTCTGCGAGTAAAATAAGAAAAAGTTGCAGACAATTTCGCAAACAAAACAGTAGCCAATAATGTGAAGAAATAAATCAGTCTACACACCTGTGCACCCTCAGGAGAACTGAGCTGTCCTTGAGAGGTCAGCTGCATCTGTTTAAAGGTAGTTGAATTGCTAGACACGACATCCTCCTTAGCTTCACCACCATTGAGAAACGTATTTGATGCAGGTGCTGCTTGAGTCTTCTTGGCTCCAAGGAAAAGAAGATGTTTGGTTTTGTCTGAAATGAACGAGAAAACTTGGATGATGCGAAGAAACGTATTACATGACTACAACTAAAACAAAGAGAGAGAACACAAAGAAAATGAAAAAAAGAAAACATGAAACACTAGCCGGCCAACTAAATTCTTAAAGTAAATGACACATGACAAGAAAAATTGAATCCACAAAAGAAGGTTATGTTCTCTTACCATAAACCAGTTTCATGTGCTGGTCACTCATGACACCTTTAGCGACTTCCTTGTCCCGAACGTGGATCTTCATTTGAGGATTCATGTCGTCGTTGAACGGACAAGACCTTTTGACCATGCTGAACGGTTGACAAGCACTGGCAAACATCGAAATGATGACAGCTGAGTTGGATAATGAAGCTTGTTGTTGTTGTTTCGCGCCAAATTCCAAATCAAAACCACTCCACTTTAGCCAACTTCAACACGTGTCATTCGGTTTAGAACGTGGTGCGGTTGGGGATCGCTTGACAAAAGAAAAATGTATGAAATATGTTGAGGCAGATTACATTTATTCCAATTTAAATACATAGCTGAAGTACAGCCAGTTTTTTATAGCCCTACACCTGTAATAGTTTTTGTGTTCTGCAAGATCTAAACAGATGGCAACAGCTCGTCCACCTCCTTTCCCCTCTCTCCCGCCCCCTGCCCTGCGTAGAGGTTAGGCCACTCTTTATTATACGATGATCTGACGTGTGAGCTTCACAACAGGTCTGGAAAGAGGCAACCAAAACTCGCAGGGCTGCTCATTTCATTTAAAAATCTCTGATACCTTTTCAATTTGCAAACCGTAAACCGAGACCGCGCGCGCGCTAAAATAGGTTGCGTTGAATTTTTCATACATTGAAATAAAGTAGTGTCGTCTGCTACTAAGTTCTACAGGTTTCTGTTGGACTGCTAATACTGTAAGTGTCTTCAAACTCGTTACTCTAATTTTATCGATTTCTTTACTTGCTCCGTGTGTCCTACAACTTGTTTGATTTTCACTTTCAGTGGAGGATAAATTCTAGTCAAATATAACTCTTGAGCCGCCTATTTCTTATAAGCTTTGATCTGTGTGAGGTTAACGACATGTCAAATTTTTATGTCGTGAATCCGTAAAAAGATTTCAGTGCTAGTTTTCGGTGGCTTAGTGCGAAATTTCATTCTATCCGTAGAAAGACCTTCAAGTTGTCAGTTTTCACTATGCTGACGGGCCGTAACCGTCAGTTACTTAACCGACAGTAACAGCATAGAGTGACTCCATGGTAACAGGTGTCTTTGACAACGTATGTTTAAAGTAGTTTGTCTAATTTCTTTTTGACGTCAAAACTCGCCGTCAGCAACTGTATTCCATTCTCTGACTCCTTCTTTATAAAAGTTGTCCCGTGAAAAAAATTCGTTACCGTGCCCATTTGTGAGGAAATCACTCTCAAAGTCAGCAGTTTTACATGGCGGCTTACGGGAGATCGTCGATGCAACCCGCACAACACACGAAAAGGCGCTGTTCGCGTGTTGCATCGACGATCTCCCGTAAGGCGCCATGTAAAAATGCTGCCTTTGAGAGTGATTTCCTCACAAATGGGCCCGGTACTTTAATCCTCAATTAAAAGTCAGCTTTTAAAATACAGCTAACTTGCGTAACTATCTGAAGCCTCTGAAAGCCGGTGGTGGGTCTCATCACAAAAACTTGCTTGTTTTTCACGGAGTACCCGTGGAGGGGGCGTTATGTAACTGCCCCGGCTCGCATGTCGGGTCGGCTCAGTCGCCGGGCCGGTGGTCCAGCTAGTCCAGCTCGGCTCCGGCTTGGCTGCATCAAGCTCCAGTGACTTTGATGATTGGAGGAGAGGAGCGGCCAGGGGGGCAGGGGCAAGAGCGGTTTGGCCTTCGGCAAGCCTATAGGCGGTGCTATAGCGCTCTATCCTACTACACCCGCACCAGCCCCCTCAGTCCCCGCAAGGTGGAGGATGTCGCTCTCCCCCAAGCGCGGGGTGAGGCGGGGCTACGCAGGCCTGCGGCAGGCTACGGCAGCTCTGCGGGTGTGAGGCCGGGCAGGGTGACGTGATGGTGGGGACGCGTTGGGTTGGCACGGTTGGCATGCCTATTCTATTTCGAGAGCCGCCGCGTGGCCGCCCCGCCCCGGCCCGGCCCGGCCCGCCGCAGGGTCTTCTCTTCTCCAGCCATCGGTCCTTCCCGTTCCAGTTTGTTCCAGTTCACCCACACGCATCGCCCGACGCGGCCAGCCGTACGAACATGCCCGGTGGAACCCTGCAGCCCTTCTGGGGCCAGAAGACCTTCTGCGTGCTGACCGGAGGCAGCCAGGGCATCGGGAGGCGATTTGCCATCGAGTTTGGACGCAAATTTGGCAAGGAGTCAGTGCTCCTGCTTCTTGCCCGCAACGCGCAAGGTCTTCAGGAGACAAGAGCAAAGGTGCTGGAAGCAAATCCAGACATCACCGTTGTCTGCATTCCAACTGACCTGGCTAAAGGGGGTGCTGAGCTGTTCAGGAGCGTCATTATCAATGGTTTGGGTGAAGCCAAGGCGGCACCAGGAGATTTTCAGCTGGCCTTCATTGTCCACAATGCTGGGTCTTTGGGCAATGTTGGTCCTGGAGTGGCGGAAATGAATGACAGTGAGGAATGGAGTGAGTTCCTCACCCTCAACATTACTTCCACTGCTGTTCTCAACTCAGAGTTTCTGAAGGTTTGTGAGACACTTCAATACTATCAAGCTTCATTCAGTTATTGTGCAAGAGTGAAGTAACTATAAACGCTTTTTTTCTTGTCTCTTGTAGGTTTTCCCTGAAAACTCTGTCCCCAACAGAACTGTGATCAATATAACTTCTTTGTGTGCTATTCAGCCATTTATATCTATGGGACAGTATTGTGTTAGTAAAGCTGCACGAGAAATGTTTTTCAAGGTGATTGTTAACTCATTTAAATTGTTACAGAACTGAAAATCCCCATATAATAATATTAATTAATGTTACTGTTACTTGCAGGTCCTTGCAGAAGAGAACCCATCACTGGATGTTTTGAGTTATTCACCAGGTCCTGTTGATACTGACATGACAGTCAGCATAATCAACAACACTCGTGATGCTAAGGCTCGTCAAATCTTCATTGATATGAAAGAAAAGAAAACCATTGTGACATGTGAACAAACCACGGAGAGAGTTATGCAGGTACTTTCAAATAAGAAATACAAGTCGGGTCAGAGAGTTGATTATTTTGATGAAGGGTACTGATATTATGGCCATACTATAGGAGATTAGGGCTGGATGGTCCAAATAGTGAAGCTCTCTTTCATTTAGTTCATGATTTACTTTAGTTGTGGAACAGATCTAAGTTTTAGGAAACAAGACTAGATGGATAAAATATCCTTTGTTGCATTCTATTCTTAAGCTAATACAATTATATGTTTATATTTTATTTATTTTAAATATTTGCATTGTTTTTTACTCTTTTTACGGGCAGATAGGTATAGTTCATAAAATCTCAATTTTAATTTTCAAAAATAAATGTAAGAATTTACTTGTATCAAAACACAAGCCATAAGCCAATAAAATGTTATTGCTTTAACAGTAGTGAACTGAGACCCTTCACCATCACATTATGACGAAACGTCAGTCTTACATACACCTTTGAAGGATGGATTTTAATTCATTAATTAACGGCCCCAATGCTTTCAAATAACCATCATTTGTGGGGTAGTACCAATCATAAAGATCTGCATGGCTTATGGTTCCATCAGGTTTGACAATATCATCCCCTACCGGTACTACCTTACAGCTAGGGACATTGTGAAGCGCTTTTCTCAGTAAATCATTATACTGTTCAATTGAGTCTCGGAGAGGATTGGGATTTAAACCACGTGGTAATATTTCCTGAAAGCAAAAATTTGGGATGATTAGCAAATTGAATACCTATCAAATGGGGTGATTTGAGGAGCCATACCTGAACTAAAATAAATGCATCAGGCTGTTTTTCTCTTATTGCTTTCACAGCTTCTATTGATCCTTCAGACACCTTCTGGGGATCGACACAACGCAAGTTTGGTTCACCCGCATACAACACGACCACCTGAAACATTGCATCAGGAAGGTTGAAAATTTAGAAAAAGAGCAATTGTGCTGTCATAAAGTTACAGATTTACCTTAGGCTTAATATTGTCTAGTTCACCATTTTGGATTCTCCAGAGAACCTGCTGGATTTGGTCTCCAACAATACTGAAATTCAAGGCATGCATCGGAATGAAAACGTCTCTCCATACTCCTCGTTGCTCCAGCTGAGACATCATTGAGTCCCCTAATATCACAACATCTGGTTCTCGCTCTTTAGTTTCTCCTAAAAACCGTCTGTGCTGAAAGAAAATACAACAACAAACTTTAGTATTCAAAAACGAAACAAACAAACAAGCAAACAACCAACCACTATAATGGTCATACAATGTCCATCCAGCGATCTCCATCACCATCGTAAGCCACTGCAGGCTTAGGCAAAGTGCACGGATTCATCTCGAAGAATGCCCTAAACCTCCTTTACTCAAAATGCAACTTGTAACCACCGTCGAGCTGTGCCGCTACCTGCCGCCCCCACGACACCCCCGACTTCGGCGAGGTCCTAATCCTAAGTTCAGGTTGACCAACAATGGCGGCTGCATCAACACATCAGTGGAAAAACGTTGTCGTCGGGCTAGGGAAGGGCGGCAACCCCAAACTGGTTGGCTTTTTCTCTTGCATCCTTGATCACTTGTCTACGAAGGAGAATTCAGCACATGTCGTCTGCGAGTTGGCCAACAACGTCTTTAGCATCTCAGCTGTCAGTGACAGTCATCCAGGGCACCATAACCCCTCGGCGATCAAAAGTGTCCTAGGAGATGGCCACGCAATCGGCCCTGTCATTTTGGAGGTAAGCAGCACCGTTTCTTTCATCTCAAACGATCTTGATCAACTGCCACCCATTCCTGATTCTTCGTTTTGTCTTTCGGGTCAAGGCTTTGCTCTAAAAAAAAAAACATTACTTTCTTTTTTTTTCATTTGTTTTATTGGAACAGTTTGACATTCAAGTGTTCAGATTGTGTGTTAATTTTCCCTGTTTTCAGCATGCACCCCACTGTCCAGTGAGACATATGACAGAGCAAGATCACTTAAGCCTTGCCAGTTCACCTTCTTCTCATCAACATGTAGCTGTGGCTGTGGCTGTCATTTTGGAATCCTCAGATGGCAAAGTTCTGATGACTCAAAGGGCCCAGCACATGCGGTCATTCCCCCGTGCGTGGGTACCTCCCGGAGGGCACTTAGGTTGGCAAAATGTCTCCTCAAGAATGTTTTACTAATTTTGTGCCAATCATTTTCATCTCAGTGTCTTATGTGCTACTTTCATCTATTTCCATTTCAGAAAAAGATGAATCCTTGGTCACATGTGGGCTAAGAGAGTTGGAAGAAGAGACTGGTATTAGTTTTCAGCCAGGACATGTAGATTTGAATATATTGTGTCTTTGGGAGTCTGTCTACCCAATGATGTTACCATTTGGCCTTCCTCGTAGTCACCACATTGTAGTATACTTGCATGGTAAAGCGCCCTACACATCGATTGAATTAGCCTCAAGAATCAAGGTAGTCTGTCATTGAAAGCCATTAGCTTATAGAACTTGTCATATTAAAATCCTTTCATTAATATTTTTTTTTTTTTTCTGGTTTTAGTTGGACCCAGAAGAGGTAATGGCCTACTCATGGTTCACACCTGAAATCATCAATAAATTGAGGAAAGGGGAAGAAGATTGCCTGGATGTTTTTGTCCTTGAAGATGGGTCTACAGGAAAATTAAAGACTGAATCAATGGAAATAAGTTCAATGTTTAAAGGAGCATTGCTGTGGACATGTAGTGAAGTATATAGCGGTACTCAACAGGCACTAACACGATGGTGTCTGTCAAAAACCTCTCCTGTAACAAGTAAAATATAGAAGGGAAAAAAAAAACAACTTCTTTCTTTGTTTTATCCAGTTTATTCTCAGAACAGTGAATAAATAGGTCATTGGTACAAGCGCAATTAGTACTTGGTACATTATCTTGTAATGGATTACTAAATTATAGACAAACTGCTGTTGGAAAGAAAAATCAAAATAGATCAAAAGATCAATCAGGATATACAATCAATAATTAATAGAGAAATGGACTGCTCAGAAGTATAGAGAGCTTACTCAAACACACATGTCTTATATGTATGCAATGTCTTGGCACAATACAGTACAAGATTGTCAAGCAAAGCAGTCTAAGCACAAAGGAATACCCTTGCCCTACATCAGGATTCAAACTTTGAATAAAGTATTACAAAATAGCCGGAATGAATATTCCAAAACAGATTGAAATATTTTGAGACCATTGGTGAGTGGAATGAAAGTATTACAAAATAGCTGGAATGAATATTCCAAAACAGACTGAAATATTTAGAGACCATTGGTAAGTGGAATGAAAACACAGTCAAGGCAGCCTTATTACATGGAATTGGGATAAAAACACAAAGTGTGTATTAATGGCAAAATTAACACTGCCTATGAATGGCATTTCATTTTGATAGCATTCACAGGCCATGCAGGAAGTGAAAAATTAAGCACTCAGTACATGCAATGTATTATGACTAGGTCAGATTTTAGCATGCACCAAATCATTTAAGCACCCATCACTATATAGTAATAACCATTTGTTAAAGTGGTGCATAAGAATCTTTCAAACTCAATTTCAATGGCAAATGCAAAAAGCTAAACATAAATCACAAGGAAAACCACACCTAAGATCTATGTAAATCTCCACACATCACAGGAATTCTCAAGCAAATTATGTTGTGTCAGTTTGATACAATAATATCAATTCAAATTTATAGAATACTTTGGGAACCTTCACAAAAAGGATACATAAAACCACCTCCAATACATAGAAGCAAACCCCAATTCAACATGCACCACAAGCTAGGCTTCATCAATCAATAAGGAACCAATCATGGTAGGTACAAAGAAATCCATCCTGTCCGGAAAAGTTATTCTTCTAGATATCTTTTTACAATAAAAAGAAAAATACCAAAAAGTATAATCAGGAAAAACTATAGTCTAAATCAAGACACAAACATAATAAAATTGACCAAGAAATAAATATAATGTTTTGACAATACACAACATACCCACCCTTAAACCTTCAGGAAGCATGCCATTTAACTTCTGTGCCACATGTGTGCAAATAAACAACACAATGGTTTGGATGTCAAAAGACAAACTGAACTTACTGAGACCAAAGAGATACAAATATTGATACTCACAAAAAGAAGCGAGAAAAGGAAGCTGTTTTGAGCACTCTCCCTGCCTACCCATTTTGAGCTAACTCCCCCGAGTACTTACACAATGATTACTTAGCAGAGGGGACTAGAATCTAGTAGGGACTAGCACATTATGAAAATATACACTTAAAAAAGAAACAGCTATCTGCTGTTGAATATGTACAGGAGGGTGTCAGCGAATCACATGGCAAAGTTAATATCAGACCATCTTAACCACATGATTTCATTAATGCACATAGGAATAGTATTGAACTTCCAAATAGATTTTATGGTCCCATAAATCAGGACTCAAAACAGATTCAATGATGAGTGTTCACAATTCACTTAAGTGTACAGATCAACCAAAATAGGTGCTTAGGTTTCACTTAACACTAATGTGTAGTGTAATGACTGCAAAAAGTTCTGTTTTCCTTAAAAATTCAAGCCACACTAATTGCGCAGATCGGGTTCTTCTCTTGATTAAGAATAATAAGGAAGTCCATAAGTAAAAGCTTCATAGGCAACAAAACTTTCTGCATCCATGGCACTTAAGTCCACACAACTTGTCTCCTAGAGCACAATTTAATTTTCGTTTCCTTCCCTAGAGAGTGAAGCTTGTCAATCAAAACAAAAATGGAATGAAAATGTCTTTATAAGGACATCAGGTAAAAATGAAATGTTCTCAGTCTTCAACCACCACAAAGTATTTTTAGTATCTCCTAGCAAAAAATTTAGTTTGTAGAACACACTTATTAGATTGGATCCTCAGTCAAAGTAGGTTTGACACACGAATTATCAAGCTGGTAATACTGAATGTATAAATTTAGAAATAATCTCAACATGATATATGAAAGCGCAAAAGCTAATACATACCATTCAACACTAAGCTATGCTACAATGGAATAATTTGGCTCCAATGTAATTTTGAATCCCTTTGCCTGTACATTGGTGGTTTGGAAATCTCATAGGTTGCTAATGATCATTCAAAACAAAGTTAAAACATCACTAAGTTTCTCTAAAGAACTTATGTAATAAGACTGACAAATATCACAAAACAAAACAAATAATTCCAAAACTATGTGACAAAGAATGTCACAGACGCAAATAAAAGGTGGCTATGGCCATGATAAATATTGTTATGGCTGTGTAAAAATGAACTTAAAATTGAACTTCATGATTAAGATAATACTAGTCTATTCACTTGTTCTTCATTTTTCAGTACAGAGTGGTACCAATCTGTCTTTTAAACTTGAACCAAGAAACAAAACTGAAAGGAGGCCCACTAGTTTTAAAATTCATATCAAAGAAGACAAGACTTGACAAGCAAGAACCAAATCAATCCATTCTTGAGTAAAAGTTTAAAAATAGTTCTTGGGTTAGTTAAAAGATGGATGATTATGAAAATGGAGTAGACTTTGCTAAATCTGATAGATACAAAACCCCTATAGAAATATATGTGAAAACCACATATATTTACCCACACTATACACAGTAATTACGTACAGTGGCTGTACATATTGCTATGAGCAAGTGCTTCTCATTCATCCTGAAAAAAAAATCAAGATTCAAAATTAATTATAAAAAGCTTTATAGAAGGATTTATGTTAACAAAATGATGAAACAAAATTCTCACCCATTCTTTCTCGTCCACTCCTTCCATGTCATCTTGCTCTAGTTTCATGTTCATCTCCACACGGTTGCTCATAGCTTGTTGAATCTACAACAATTGATATTTTTGAAGGTATCATTCAGCACAGCATTGCCACAAAACTACCTAAATAAGAGCACTAACCTGTTCTGTCCTCCGTTTAGATCCTGACAAATCATCATTCCAACCCCCTTTAGAGTTGGCATTATTGGCATTATTATTGGCATTATTGACATTACCCCCTTTAGATGAAGGAGTAGGTGCAATAGTAGATATGACTTCAGCTGCCCCTTGGGAATCAGACACTGCACAATGGAAAGAAGAGACTTGTAGAATATGATGTTAAAAAAGGAAAAACAAATACGGTAACTTGATTTTTTTACATACAAGAATCCATTCCAGGTGGGCGCAGACTGATCCTTTTGACAGGATGTTGAGCTCCAGAAAACCATTCATTTGCAGAAACGGAGGGCTCCCAGGTGACCTTTGTAGCAGGGAAAAGATCGTCTTGGAAGAGGTCCAACTGTGGGAATAAAACAAGAATGTAAAATGAGTCTTTTCCCTTTTTGCCATAATGTGATATTAAAAATGTGAAAATAGAAAAACAAATACATACCTTGATGCGAGGAACAGTGAAGCTTAGTGGCTCAATAGAATTGTTTGTGAGACGAAGAGCTTTGGCAAACTCCACACTGGCCACATCACAGCAATTTTTGGGAAGGAAAGACAAGCCTTGGTGTAAGGAAGCTGCCCGGTGGTGGCTCAAAGGACACAAAAATGGTGCTTCCTCTGACACTTCAAATGCATACAATGTGGAGTCCCCCTGAAGTCATAAAGAATGAGAAAATGGATGATAGGCAGCAGCATCATAAGAAAACCAAGAATCCTAAAAATATATTTTACATACTCTGCCGGTCACAAAGAGAGTTGAACTGTCTTCATCATAAAAAGGAATGAGAATAGATGGAGATACATCTAGCCCAATCGTGTTCATTGGAACATTCAAAGCATGGCTTTTGTAGACACTAATCTGCCTCTCTGATACCCTGGGTACAAAAGAGATAGATATGACAAAATGTATCAGACTATTTACAGCGCTGTTAAAAATCTAAAAAAACATAACAAAACAAAACAAAACAAAGAAAGATATCATACTTGTCAAAGCCCATCACTACAATATAGTTTCCATCCAGTGCCCACACAATACGTGCACCTCTAGAGCCTGCAGGACCCTTCCCTTCTCGGACAGGTTGGGCACTGGCCCTGGGTTCGTAAACACGAATCTTGAAATCTTTGCACACTGTTGCACAATATGCTCCACAAGGAGACCACGCCATACAGAAAATCTGCAACGTAACATAATTCAATGACAGCACTCTCAATGCTGGTGAGAAGATTAGTCACAGTAAAGAATTAGAAACAAATACATACAGTGTCCGTGTGTCCCAAAAGAGTTATCTTTTCAGTTTGAGTTTGGAGATCCCAAATTCGAATCGTCATGTCATAGCTTGAAGATGCAAGAACATCTTTAGCTGTGGGATGGAACTTGATGAAATATATCTTTTCAGAGTGAGCTGTCCACTGGGCTTCAGGGGTGTTCGTTGGCTCAGTGAGGCCCCCAGGCTTAATAAGCCATAACTTCAGAGTGCCATCATCACAAGCTACAAGAGAACAAACATAAATGTGCAATTAGCGTTTCTGATATATATTTTTGCAATATGTCACACTGATTTTTCAGGTAAGACAGTATTGCGTACCAACTGCCAGACGACTGCAGTTGAAAGGGTCCCAAACAAAATCCATGACGTTAGCACCATGGACAAGGGCAGGAATCACTCCATCAGGCAGTTTTCCTGCACGGCTCAGTTCCAAAACAGCAATTCTTCCACCTGGTCCACTCAATGGCACAGCTACTCGTTCACGGTTAGCATGGAACCCATCACACTCTCCAGAAATCTGTCGGCTAATGTTCCGAATGTTTTCAATGTGTGTGGACTTGTGACCCGGATTCCCTTTCAAGTGACGGAATTTAGAAACTCTCCCTGTAAGATAAAATTCAAGAAAACAAATAAAGTACGTACATTAGATACTTAAAGTTGAAAAGTTTTTTGATTTTTACAATTACAAATATAAATTTAGAAGCCTTACCAAACACAGTGGATGTTCTCTTAGGGGTTGGAGTGACAGCAGGTTCCAGCTTTGCAGACTTGGTGGGCTCATGTGACATTTGACGCTGCACAGCAGGAGCTGGCTTTCTCACTTCTTCTGCAAGTACACAAAAGAGAAAAATTAGTAAAGGATTAAATGCCCTGGTTAAGGAAAAGGTTCTGAAACTTCAGATTCGAACCTTCAACATTGACTTTCTTCAAAGAATCTTTGCGTCTCAAAGGAGTGGGGGATGGAGTTTTGGCCTTATTTGCTCCTGAGTCCTGGATGGACATTGAGCGACTTTCATACAGGCGCCTTCTTTCAGCAATAGAGCTTCTCTGAGCTGAGTTGCGATCAAAGTCAGCTTTCCCTTCATCCAATAGAACACCATCAACGGCGGATGTGATGACCTCAACATTTTGCTGACTCTCTGTAGATGAGACTCGACTTTCAAATACTTTTCTTCTTTCTGATGTGCTCGGCGTTTTTGGTTTCTCAGGTGATGACGAACCAGAAAGTGGAGGAGAATCATTCAATTCATCATTAAGACTGTGTAAGTCAGCTTTGCCATTTTTCTCAGAGCCATTGGCATGTTCGGTCCCGCCATTGCTGTACCAGCTGAGTGCCGAGTCTGGAGCCCCCTCTGGAGAGTTGCGCTGTGCTAAGGCTTCATCAGAGTTTACGATCCCACCATCCGATTCAATGGCACCAGAGTTGGCACCAAAGTTAAGTTTTGGAGGAGTGAATGGCTTGGGACCTAGTCTTGGCTGTGAACACAAAGACATTAAGATGAGGCACATGAAAATATTTCTAGACCAACAAATATAATAAATGTTATGACAAGAGCACACTGCACAGAAAAAGAAAGAGAAAACACCTTCATTGAGAGAAAATAAAAGCTTACTTTGTATCCACCACCAGTCACAACCCCTGTAGTAGTGGAGCGAGGACGTGCAACAGGCTTTGGAGTTGAGATAATAGGAGGAGGAGAATTGCTTACAGGAGGAAGTTCCTCATTGAGCTCAGACAAAGAACCATTGCGAGAGGCGCGAGGCAAAGGTTTGGGTGGTACACAATGAGAGTCGCTTCCATTCTGGACATTTTTAGCATCCACAGCATCATCCAACAATTCATTGCTTTTGGTCTCCAACTTAGTTTTGAGTGCTTTGACTCCACAAACAATCTCTTGACCATTGTCCCGCCCATTCTCCCGCTCCTTCAACCAAGACTGATTGATGTTTTTAACAATGGGCTGTGGCTGAGAAGTTTTCACAGATGACTTCTCATTGTCCTTCAGCTCTTGTGCAATTTGAACAAGTGTACCACGATGAATCTGTAAGAAATTGGGTGATGCAGAGAGAAAGAGAAAGAGAGATGTTAGCTTTACAGTGCCGTTACAAAAAGAGACAGTAAGCATTGAAGGACAGTAACATTGGCATTTCCAAGCTTTTTTTTTTCTTTTTTTTTTGTTGTTCCAGCAAGCAAGCCCACAGATAAATTATCATGCTCCACTGGCTCAGATTTAGTCATAGGTAACACGAAATGTGGATTTTCTTACCATTGAAGCCTGTTTCTTGTTGGGGTCCAGACTGATTCTTGGAACAGCTGTATCATTGCCCACACTCCACTGACTTGCTGACATGGGGGAGTTACATCCAGCAGTATCAGGGAATAGATCACTATGAAAGTCTCGGTAGGACTGGAACAAATTCACATTTCATTAAGCACAAATACTTACAAAAGAAAAAACAATGATATTGAAAACCCAAAGATATTTAACTCACTTTGCGAGGAACTTGATACATAATTGGAATTACTGAACTGGAAGTTAGCTGGAGCAAACGGTTCACTTCAGCCTGCATGACAGCCAGAGCTCGCTTAGGGACTAGGCAGGCTCCTTTTGTCTGCTCACCAGAGTGACGAATACCTTCTACAAGGAATGGTTCCCGATCTAACACTTCCATGTACATAATAGTTATGTCTCCCTTTCCAGCAAGGAAGAGCATGTTTGTATCAGGATCAAAAAGAGGCATAAGAATTCTGTACAGATAAAAAAGGACAAGTTTTGACAGAGCCAAAGAAACATTCATAAGAAATTTGATAAATAAACGAGAAAGAGCATACCCAGTTGAGCTGTCAAGTTCTAGTGATTTTTCAGGTTCTGAAAACTTTCGGAGATCACGAATGTACACCTGCCTCAAACGTCCAGCATCAAAGCCAGTAGTAAGGATTCTGTTTGAATCACCAAGCCAAACCACACGGGAGTCTTTGATGCTTTGATGGCTGTCAGTAGTATGAGTTATGCTCGTGGTGGCACGAGGATCATAAACGCGAAGTTTCTTGTCTTTGCATGAAGTAACCAAAAGACGACCATCAGTCTTCCAGCTAAGTGACTGGATCACTTCTGAGTGCTGGCAATTGGCTGGAAAGTAAACAAAATAATAGAACATTAAAACTTTGAGCAAAGTAAACCAAAATTTGCATTTTGCTGAGAACATACAAAATATTTCCTTCTGTGCAGCTACGTCCCACAATGTAAGAGTAGTGTATGATGTGGAGCTCAGAAGACAGTCAGCTGTGGGGTGAAAGCGGACAGCTTCTACTCGCCGCTGCTTGTGAGAGAAAACACACTGAGGGTTGCTTAAACTCTCCTGTAAACCACCCTCTGGAATGTGCCACAGTTTCACCTGAAAATAAATTCAACAAGACTTAGGCTTACAAATATAATAAAAATTTAAACAAATAAAAATTACTAAAGGGAAAGCTAACCAAACAATCTTGGGAACCAGTAGCTAGAAGTCCATCATGGAAAGGAGAGAAGTCCATGTCAGTCACCGTATCCGTATGGGCATGGAGAAGTGGCATGGTTTTGCTTTTCCTTCCACAATCATCAATAGGAAGAACAGCCAGACTTGAGCCTACAAAAAGCATTAACAGGGGGTTAAAAAAATCCATGAAAAACAAGAATCTGTTTCTAAAATTTTAATGTAGAAAATGGATGTTGAATACCATTATGGTCCACATTGAATGCCATAAACGCTGCAGATGCAGCAATGTTGTTCCCATAAGTTTGGTATGAGCCCACAGATATGTCACGAATGCATGCCTCCGGTTTGGGCACAATCGGTGCTGCATTCTTGTACTTTGAAGCTTTGAAGCGCCACGCCATTTTAAATAACTTATTCAAGCATGTACTTGATCTAAAACACAGAAAGTAACAAACAAATTAGAATCAATCAGCAGGAAACTACAGATTTCAATGCTGACACATTCATCACCCAATCTTCATCAATTCAGTATAATAACCACCTGTCTGAGAGTATACAATAAAATACACCCACAAGAAAATCTTTTAAACAATTGGAAATAGAAAATCTATTTACGTGTCAAGCACAAAAAGGAACAATTCCAAAAGCTAGTTTCAAGCTGACTGCATAAACAGTGTGTGGAAACCTGGTGAAGCTAATGTCATTTTTCAAAAGCACAATGAAATACAACAAAATAATACAGCGAAAAGGATTCCAAGAGATTCGGCACGATCCTGGACCAAATTTAACACGTTTAAAGAATTCTCGTTGTGCGGAGTTCACTCCTAGTCCGACGAAAATAGAAGTCTACAGCTCCCCGACCTCCGCTCAGCTTTGTTTGGGGACTGTGTGTTCTGCTTGTGTGGAAACATAGCGGTCTTGGGGACGTATCCTCTACTGATCAGTATCTGACTATGTGCAAGGTGGCGAACTTGGCAAAGTGATGTATCAAATCCGTCCAAGAAAATCACCCAGAACCGAAATTGGTGGCGCAGGCGATCGAAAAACAGCGAAGCTTACCAAACAAAACAGAAATGACAGGTTGGGAGTAGGAGGGCGGCACCGATACCGAACACAAACTCGGCCACGACAGAGGCAAACGCAATCAGGCGCGATCCAGCCGGTAAAAATCGCACACTTCACCCTAATCCCATTCCAGAACCGCGACGAATGCGGCCCTACCACCGGGGAAAGCAGGCGAATCCGCAGGAAAACACAGGAGCGAAACCTACTCTGAAAATGACAGCCGGGGGGACCGGCAACATGCGCAGCACTAATGCGCAGAGCGGCCCTGTGTCACCGGAAAGGCCCGGCAGTGCACTTGCGAACCCTCAGTGATTGGGCGCGGCACGCCACGGAGCGCCGGCGGGTCCGCGGGGCCGAGTCGCTAGGCGGACGTAACTACGCGGCGGAGGACCACTGCGCCACGCGCCGCCACGCCACCAATCGACTCGCAAGACCCACGGTGTGCTTGCGCTGCGCTGCTCTGCTCCGCGAGCCACGCGCCACGCCACGCGCACTAGTCGCTGTTCCTAGCTGTTCCGATCCGACGTTCCGCGGTCCGTGTTCCGTTACGCCCTTTCTCCATCCTCCTTGCTGCCAGACTAGCCGACCGGCCCGGCCGACCACCGGAGATCTGCCGTGTGCCCGTAGACGCCCCCACCCCCTCTTTTTGTCCATGACCCTGGCACGCAGGGAAAACCTAGCAGACGGACTTCTCTCCTCGATGGGCCCTTGAACTTACTTGGGTCGGCTAAGCCCTAGTGGACAGCACTTGAAATTTCGAGTTTTGCTGAAGTTGGTCCTACCCACCTCGACATACGTTTCCGGCCGTTTTGACTTTGCTTTAGCGTTGAGTAAACTGTCATGAGTTCCAAAATTTTGAAAATCAATTTTAAAAATGCTGTGGCAAGTGTTTCATGGAATAAGACAGGAGCCAACCCATCCAACCTATCTTCCTTTGACAACGAACTGTTGTCAGCGTGGAATGATGCCATGAGAAGTGGCTATTTTCGGTACAAAGTTAATATTCAAGGATCGTCTATTATTCCAGGGAAATGGAACTTTTTTGCTATGGTAAATTAACTGAACATATCGCTTCCAAAGGTAACACCAAATGACGGTCCACATGTTTATTGAATTAACTTCTGTCACAGCTGAATCCTGATCGTGGAGAAAATCGTAGAAAACCCCAGGAATTTAATTCCGTAAATGACCCATTTGATCCAGCATCGTTCAATTTCACACGTATCAAGAATGAGGAAATCCTTTTCACACTTGATGCAACTGACAATGAGCAGAAACTATACAATGAAGACCTTTTAGCAATTAATGTCAGTCCGATAAATGAGGGTCATAGCCTGATCCTGCCCTGCCGAAATAAAATGAACCCCCAAGTCTTAGACCTTCACAGCATCGAATTGGGCCTGCGAATTCTCCTGATGAGCTCGAGTCCGTAAGTATTTTAAATTAAAGGCTATCCTCAAAATTTTCTTTCTACAAGCTTTAAATATATATTTTTATTTTTTAGATCTTTCCGTGTGGCATTCAATAGTTTGTGTGCTTTTGCATCTGTTAACCACTTGCATCTCCATTGTTTGTATGTAGACTGCCCAATGCGGCTAGAAAGCATTGTAAGTTTTTGTTAAAAAAATTATTTTATGTATTTTGAGTGTGTAATCCCTGATACAAATTTTCTTTTTAGGATCTTCTTCCCTTTGAAGGTCCCTGTTTCCAAGTGAAAAATTACCCATCTCATGGTTTTGTCTTTCAATGTCTAGCAGAAAGTGAAAATGATGTTAAAACTTTATCTAGGTAATTGGCTTGTTTCATCATTCCAAGCCTAATTTTTAAAATGGGTCTTAGTGTTGAAGTTCATTTTTGTTGATTTGTTTAGGAATGTATTTAAGCTCACAAGCTTCCTCTCAAGCCAGAATGAGGCTCATAATGTCATAATGACTCGTAGTAAGTTAACAGAAAGTGATCAAGACTTGTCACACATTCGGGTTTATGTTTGGGTGAGAAAATCCAATATGGGTAAGTCAATTTTACAATGTAAGCATTTTTCAAAAAATTTGAAATGGATTATTACTGTATAATCTATCAAATTTTTTGTAGGAGCTAAGGACACTACAGGATTCAACCCAGCTGCATTAGAACTGTTTGGATATTTCATGTACAAAGGTAGGAGACTCCTCTCTGAATGCATACTTTCATGTCTGATGTTTTTATTTATCTTAGTTTTATTTTCAGATGCCGATAACTACAAAAATGCGGATGAAGCCAAACTGTGTCGAGTCCTTGAAGATTTGACCCAAGAGCCATTTGAAAAAAATTGTGAGAATGTGAGACTATTGTTTAAGGAATAAGTGCGTTTTGTTTTAACTCTGAATCAGAAAATCAACAAGAAAAAAATCATGTCTCCTTTTTTTTACAATTTATTATATTTACTTTAAAAATAACTTACACATTTAACACAAGAAGATCAAATTCTTTGTACATTCACATTGAGATACAAGGTTGCGGCCCGCGAACCGCGTTCTTCCCCGCCTGCCTGCGGCCACTGCGGAAAGGAACGGGGCTCCCAGATCGCTAGATCACTCATCTATTAATTAAACAAAGGGAGCAAGGAGGGCGAAGCCTACCGAAACAGCCTGCAATTTGATTACAGCAAACGGAACAAACACAACAGAAATAATATACTTCAAGTTTTCACAGCCTCGTTGATCCGAATAGCGGAGAACACATCCCGATCAGTTGGATGTCTGACTCGGTCTGACCAGCGGTTGCCTGACTGAGATCGCGCTGTTGCGAGTTGCCTCCCCGCTTTTTATCACAATGAATGACCGCCTGCTAACAGAGTCGCGGTCCCGGACAGGTGCTGACCAAGCTCCTGGAGGAGTCGCGCCGCGGCGGCGTGAGACTAGAGTCTTTGGGGAGGGCGAACCCAGGGGGAAGGCGCCGGCCGGGCAGGCAAACTTGGCGGGCCCGAGCGGCGCCATGCCGCTGCAGTGACGCGCGGAGCCTCGCGCGGAGCCTCGCGCGGAGCCCACTCCCACTTGGTCTACTTGGCGCGACTTGGCGCCTCGAGACGCGCGGACGGGAACACAAGCTTGCGCCACACCGCAGCATGTCCAAAAGCCAAAACTATCGCCGAAGCAGTCACTGTCTGTCCGACGAGCGGCGTCCGTGTCGTGTGGGTGGTTTGAAAGTCTCAAGCTTGCTGACCTTCTAACCTTCCACCACCGTGGACAGCGGCCTTCGTCTCGGGCGCCGGTGCCACAGCCACACTCCGGCCAAGAAGTAGTCCTCGATCTCGTTGAGGCTGCGCCCGTTGGTCTCCGGCAGGAACAGGAACGACCACAGCAGGTTGAGCACCGAGGACACGCTGAAGAGCCAGAAGAAGCCTGCGCTGCCCAGCAGCCGCTCGAGGGATGGGAAGGCCTGGAGCAAGAATCGCATTGGTTACGCGGGCAGGAAAAGAACGAATTCTAACGAGAATCACGTCGAGTGCTGCACCTGGCTGCTCGTAACATCCAGATAAGGAGCCAACAGTAAAATTAAATAAGAAACATCGCAAGGACGACGAAAAAGATAACTTACCAAGCGGCAAGCACTAAACGTGCACGTGGTGGTATCCAAGCAAGATAAAAACCAGGCCAACAGGCCACACGTCTCTCGACGTGAGATCATGTAAATTAAATTGACGTACCTTGGAAAAGCCGAAGAGGAAGATGTTGAAGATGCTGGTGGTGGCGGCGCTGGCGACGCCGCGGACGCTGGTGGGCAGCAGCTCACTCATCATGAGGCCGGGCATGATGAACATGCCGAAGGACGACATTGCCACGTACAGCAGCGCCAGGATGGGCACCAGGTAGCTGTCCTTGCCCGACCAGCCGTAGTACACGACCAGCCCCAGCTAGGGGAACGAAACACAGAAACAGGCCGTCAGTGGCCGGGAGGAGCCTCCAGTTTGGGGAAGCTCCGCGCGGAGCGCCTGCAAGCTATGCAACCGGTAGCTGCTCCACACACGGCCGCGTGCGGGATGCCTATGCCCTGGCCGCGCAGGCGCCATGCTTGCCTTGCCCGCAGCAGGCCGGTGGAGATGGCCAAAATTCTAGACGCGTTTTAAACTCCAGCGTCGCTAAATGGGACTCGAACTGAACGTGTGACCCCCACCATTGGAATGCTCTCCGAACGAGGGATCCATTAGTGAGGTCACACGTTCGGTACGAGTCCTGTTTAGCGACTCTGGAGCTCAGAAAGCGTCCAGAGTTTTGGCCGCCGGCGCCGGTCTTCTGGCCCACTGTGCGATGCCCTCCTCAAAGAGCCAGGTTTCGCTCACTCACCACGGCGGTGAAGACGGCGGAGCCCGCGGCCGACACGAACGCCACGGGGCGGCGGCCGACGCGCTGCAGCAGCGCGCAGCCCACGCCACTCATGACGAGGCGCACCACGGCGGTGAAGATGGCCACCAGCTTGGCGCTTATGTTGGGCGGCATCACGGGCTCCAGGAGGTCCGTGGCGTAGAAGATGATGATGAAAGTGCCCGACAAGCTCTGGTGGTTCAAAAGATGACAACGCTTGATTTCGCCACTTGCCAATGGGTGTAGGAGGAGGCTGGCGGGAGAGGGAGGCAACTCACTTGCAGCAGGTTGTACACGTTCATGATGACCATGGGCTTGACGACGTGCGGCTGCAGGAACAGGCGCCACACGCTGGTGTTCTTGCCGGCGTTGTCCGCCTTCTCGGCCGCGGCGCGCGAGACCAGCTGGTCCATCTCAACCTTGCTCTGCAACAGCAGCACCAGGCTTGTTTACGCTCGCGGACAGGGTGAGGCACGCGCCACCGCCGACTGCGGGACTCGCCTCGCACACAAACCCCAAACACGTCTAAAATTGCCAAAAGACCAGAAAAGACTGTGAAAAGGCGAAGGCACTGACCTGCACGCTGCCGGCGCCGCCCCGCAGCCAGTCGAGCGTCTCCTGGGCCTTCTTGAGGCGGCCCTGGCGCACCAGCCACACGGGGCTCTCGGGCAGGCAGCGCAGCCACACGAAGGCCGCGACGGCGGGCACCGCGGACAGGGCGCACACGTACTGCCACGACACCAGCCAGCCCGTGAGGAACACGTAGAGGATGCCGATGGAGTAGGACACGTAGGGCACGCCCACCAAGATGCCGCGCATCCGCGGCTCCGACATCTCGCCCAGCAGCACCTGCGAGGGCGCGGCCAGGATGCCGACGGCGGCGCCGCACATGCCGCGCCCCACGAGCAGCATGGCGGTGTTCTGGGCCAGCCCCAGCACGAGCCACCCCGCGGCCAGCAGCGGCGTGGACACCTGCAGGGCGCGGTTGCGGCCCAGCCGGTCCATGAGCGGCCCGGACAGCAGCGTGCCGATGGGGGTGGACGCCGAGTGCATGCTCACTGCGGGCAACAGGAACAGGGTTCACGTCGTGGCTCTGGCCGCTCTGGCTGGCAGGCGTGGCAGGCTGGCTCCGTATTTACCGATCCACGAGGCAGTGTCGCCGTCGGTGGGGATGCTGGAGTTGGGGTGCTGCAGCTGCGGCAGCACGGCGCCGGAGAAGCCGATGGGACACCCCGCGCCCACGGACAGCATGACGAGGGCGCCCGCCACCAGCCACTGCGGACAAGTCAGCAATCAGCACCACTCGGCCGCGACGCGCGCCTCGGCCCAAGCCTCGGCCGGCCGGCGTGCGGCCCACAAGGGGTGGCCCCGAGCCACCGCGGTCACCGGCACCCTACCATGGCGGCGTTAACATTGCTCCTGCGGGGCTTGGCCGTGGCCGGGGCCGAGGCCGCGGCCGGCGGGACGTTGTCGGTGATGATGAAGCTGGCGGTCTTGGCCTCCTGGGGGCCGCCCTGCACGCTGGCAGCCTTGGTCTTCATGGCGGCGAGGGTCGCGAGCACCCTGCACCTCGGCGACGTGAACGTTCAGCCCCGGGGCCGGGGTTTGGCAGAATGGTGTGGTCGCGGCGCCATCACACAATCTACTTATCACGCGGCGGGCGGCTCGGGACGGTGGATTTGGGACGCGTGGGGCGACGATATGATGAGGTAACACGACACTCTGGGATTCTGTGCGCACACTCTTTGTGTGTCCTACCCCACACAGAAGCAATGGCAACGACCCAGTCGTGCGAGGCCGAGTGTGCGTACGCCCTATACTGTGCCGGAAAAGGCACACAACTCTTTCCAGTTTTCGAAAATAACAAAATGAGAACCGTTGCGTGAGAATGCATTTCTTCTCCTGTCAGCACAAAGTTAAATGTAGCCATCAAGATCAAGGTTATCGCGGGCAGTGAGTCCGTTTCCGGGTGAGAGTTTCAACAGCGAGGACTATCCACGCGCCGTCGCGGCGGTCTCGATCGCGTCCTCACCTGCGCCAGCATGCCCTCCCGCGTCGCGTAGTGGATCCTGGTGGGCAGCTTCACCTCCCCGGAGAGCGGCCTAGCGCCGTCCTGGTTCATCCCGCTGGCGATCCGGGGCACGCGCGGCGGCAGCGCGGGGGGCAGCTCCACCAGGGCGGTGTCCGCGGTGTCCGCGGAGGCGGCGGTGGTGGCGGCGGTCCCCAGGGCGCCCCGCACCATGGGGGTGTACTCCATGGCGTCATGGTCGTGGTCTCCGCTGCAGCAAGAGGTCAAGGTCGTTAGAGAAGGCCCTGGAGGGCGGCGGCGCGGTGAGGCGTGGTTGCCGAGCCCCTTTCTCTGAGCTCGTCAACGTCGCCGTCATCAAGCTATCGGCTTTCGGCCGTTCGGCCGCGACAATTAGTATTTCCCGCAGTATAATAGATGCAGCACGGCGCCGGCCTCTGGGAGGACTTTGTCCCATGACTGGCAGGAATGGCGGGGCACGCCACGCCCTGCCGCGCCACACCACGCCACCCAGATCGGATGACGCTCCGTGTTTGGGGGACGGGGGACATGGGACATCGCGGTGGTCACGTGGTCACGTGGTCTCGGCCAGTGTGTGCGAGTTGCGAGCGTGCGTGATCAGCCGCTGCACATCGGACTCTATGATTCACTCCCATTAACCCCAATTGGTATCCTGGACCTCGTCATTCCCGAAAGCACCGAAAGCCACCATGGGACAGTGGAACTTCGGAGGGTTTGTGCCGGCGGGCCGCTTCGGCCGCGTGCAGCGCGTGCAGCAGACTGATTCCGAGAGTCTAGCCCTGTCTCCGTCTCTCTCGCACCCACACGGGACGCCTCATGAGTGCGAGAGACAGAGCGACGAAAGCGACTCCCGGAATCAGTCCGCAGCGCCGATTCCCTGAAATCCAAAAACGACCCACGGAAAGTTGATGAATAGGTAACAATAGAGGAAGCGCCGTGCTGTCTGCTGAAAACAGATTGCGCAACTCGATGGGGGGGGGGGGGCGCCTGCGCATCGCTGCGCATTGAGCGGTGCTGGAAGCAGATTCCGGGAAATGCTTTCGTCACTCCGTCTCTCTCGCACTCATGAGGCGTCCCGTTCCACGCCGCGCGAGAGGCGGAGAGCGACGAGCCCCGAACGGCGACCCGCGTGACCCCCTAGGGTGACCCCCTAGGGTGACCCCGCGCGACGCGACCCAGTGGCGCGGCGCCTTTTGGCTGGGCGACGCAGAGCGACGGCAGCACCTGCACTGCAAGTAGGTCCAATCAGGCGGCCCAATCATATCGCACACGCGCAACGCACACGCACCGCGGACAGGCAGACGGACAGGCAGACAGACAGACAGACAGTCACAATTTCACGTTTCGGCGGAGATAGCGTTGGCGCGATGATACGGGCTGTGTGACGTAGTGACGCAAGAAGGCTCCGCGCTCCGCTTCTTCGCCGTTCGGGCTGTTCCGCTTATCGCCGCCTCAAGCCGCTGCCCTTGGCCGCCTGCTGCCACACTGTGGCGCTTTGGTGCAACGCCGGCCCCGGCCGGCCCGGCCCTCGGAATCAGTCTGCAGATTGGCGATACTGTCCCACCGAACACACCGGCGGGTCGCGGCCAGGAAAGGAAGTATAATACAGTGCGGCACGGCGCGCGGGGCTCGGCGGGGCTGCAATGTCTAGTGTCTGACACGGCTTTCCTGCGGACACCTGCAGCAGGCCAGGCCCGGCAGCGCCCGGCAGGCCACTCGAGTTGCGGCGAGCTTATCGAAGTCCTCGGACGCTTCCTCCAAAATACTTCCTTTGAAACGCATCGATCGCTCGTCTCGCGCGCTCGCTATCTGTCCCTGCCCTGGGGGAACCACCGCGGCCGAACCGGGCGAAGCGCGGCGCGCTGATGTAAAGAGACTGATTGTTGTGCGGCGCTGCGGTAATCGAACCCCGGTCCGCCGGTTTGCGAGACTGTGTACTTACTCCGCGCCGCCGCCCGACGCTAGTGTTATGCATGGGCACGCGCCGCGCGGCGAGGCGGAGGGGCGGCGGGGCGGCGGGACTGCGAGGCGGGGACGCGAGAGAGGAGAGGAGCACAACGAGCCCGCTGTCTTCCCTTCTTCCGCGGCTCACTCAAAATTTGGCGGGAACTCGCTAAACGGCGGGGTTCTCCTCGTCGATGGCTCCGCTGGCTCTGCCCGCGAGGAAGGAAGAAAGGATTCCAAGGCCGTGGCGCACGCGGCAGGCAGGGCAGGGCAGGCAGGGCAGGGCGGTCCGGGACAAGGCCGGCGAGGTCCGGAGGACCGGACGGTCGGCGGCCCCATGCGGCGCCAACACCGCGCCGTGCCGTGCCAGCGACACGCCAAGCCCCAAGCCCAGGCAGCGCGGCGACGCGACGCTACGCGCACAATGGCAATCAGCACGGCGTCTGGCTCTATGCCGCCCTGCCGCCATGCCGCCTCGCCGCCTCCCGAGACAAAAGGCGAGCACTGTGTCGCGAATGAGAAGCGCTGACGACGCGGACGCGATGCGACGCCCCATTTCCCCGCACCTCACATCCCAGACCGCTCAATACTTCATGAAATTGCTTTCTTTTGGCGGTGCCGCCGTGCGCGCGCTTCCTCTGTGTTCGCTGGGCGCCCCGCCCCGCCGCGCCCCGCCCCGACTTCCTCCATTGAGAGACGCGACATCGGCGGCGAGTCGGCGAACGCCTCTTTTTATTATGTGCTGCACAGCCATCGGCGGTATAGGCGGTTGCCATGGCGATGAGGAGTACCGTCCGTCCCGCCATGTGACAGCGCGGCAGCGCGGCAGCCATGACCAAGTCAGTGAGTGCGTGCCTCGGCCGCCTCGCCGAGTGGCCGTTGGCGTCAGTCAGCTCAGCTGACTGGGCATGCAAGCTGCACGCCATGATTCACGGGACGGCCACGCCTCCGAGCACCGCGAACACACGCGTGTGGCGACGGCGTGCAGCATCAGCCACGCAACGCGCAACGCGGGGCCCGGAGCGCGGGGTACCGCCGCGGTAAATCACCGCGTGGAGTATAGACGACAATAGTCGTTTCCACGTGCCCGCCGTGCCCGCCGTGCCCGCCGTGCCCGCCGTGCCCGCCGTGCCCGCCGTGCCCGGTGCAGCGCGGTGCAGTGCCCCGCGCACACGCACGCTGGAGTCACGCGGCGTCGCGTCCCGTCACGAGCGAGACAGGAATGCAGCGATGCGGCCATCGGCCATGACCTGTGCAGGCGGCGCAGGCGGCGCAGGGCACGCTCCACGTGGGCTGCAGGACTGGCGCTCGCCCTTACCGTTCGTCCATCTGCTTGGCGTGCTCGCTGGCGTGCTCGCTGGCGTCCTCGTTGGCGATGCTCGCGCTCGTTGACGCGCTGACGTCACCCCCGGAGCCGCGGCATGGCTCGGCACGGCTCGGGGGTCAGCTCGACTCGCGGTGAAGACCGTCCTCTTCCTCGCGTCTACATCCTCGTCACACCGCGCGCGTCCGCGACGTCACCGCCGTCACCAGCATCGCCTTTCTCGTCGCACTGGGTATTCCCGCCTGACCGCGCCTCGCGAGAGAGGCGACTCCGATCGCGCCGATCGCCGCACTGAGGCGCCGCGCCGCCGCGTCCGCGTGCTGGGCGCCGCGTTCGCTTGATCGCCGCGGGGCGTAGCGCGTCGCGCTGCGGTGGCCGTCGGCTACTGACTGCCCCGCCGCCTCGCCCGGGGTCCTTTGGCCGAGTGGCCACTGGTCGGGCAGACGGACTGCGCGAGGGGGGCGCGGCGCGGCAGCCGGCGGCAGCGCGAGGACGACGGCCTTGGCGAGCGGGAGCGGCACTGCTCCGGAGCGCGCCACGACTGGCACGACGCACACACGCGGCGGCGGGTCACTCCAGCCAGCTCCAGCCAGCTCCAGCAGCTGGAGGCAGCTCCAGGCCGCGGCCGTGTCTACGGGAGGGGGCGTCCCTAGGTCGGCGCTGCACTGTGGCGCCGCGCCACGACGCCCACGTCCCCCCTCCCCTCCCCTCCCCGCGGCGCCCCGCGTGGGGTCGGAAGAGCCAAGCCGGCTGGTAGGCTGACGACATCAACAGGTTCACACTCACCGAGCCATGGCAACGCCAACGCCGACCTGGAGTCCGGGTGCTGCAGTCGCACTGGCGGCCTGGCGTCCTGGAGGCCGGAGTCCCGGGCCGCGACGTCCCCGATGGCCGCAGCGTGCGTCCAATGCGTCCAGTCGTCCGATATGTCCGTCCCGGCCGTCGCGTTGTCGCGTCCTGCCCTACTCGTCCTGGCCATACCCGGACCAGCAGCGGACGCAGGCTGGCCGCCGCCAGGCGAACGCCCCCCCCCTCCCCCTCCCCCTCTTTTGCTTCCCTTTCCGGTCACGAACGCACCGCGGACAGCCTACCGCATCCAAACAGGGGATGTTCCTCGTGGTCCCGCCCCGCCGTCGGCCAATTTCAAAACCAAATTTTGATTTCGAAAGGCACCGGAGCAGCGGAGGCAGACCGTGGCCACAGCGTGTGGAGTGGAGCATAACGCGAGAAAGCATTGGGAGAGTTTCCAGCAGGTGACAGCGTTGCGTCGTGACCCGTCCGGTGTAGCAGAGGGAGAGCCCCCCATCCCGACCCATCATAAACCTGTCCCGCGTACATGAGGCTTCCAGCTTGACGCACTGGCCCGGCGGGACGTAGCTGTGGGCATTGAAACTGAGCTTCAAGTATTCGCGCTGAACGCGATGGACGAGGTAGTTTCATTCGTGCGTTTTCACCTGCTGTTGTACGTGGTGTGGCCGGCGAAGGGGACGCAGGGCCGGTGGTAGCGGCCCTTCTGCATCCAGGGGTACTCCTCCCTGCGGCAGGCCGAGCAGGCCGAGCAGGCCGCGGGGCGGTCCGTAAATAGAGTCCCCCGTCGCGTGTTCATGTGGCGTGGACGCGTGGACGGACGTGGACGAGCAGGGGCACTCCAATAATGACCGGCCGCGCCGACAACGCCCCGGGGACAGCCGACCGATTCCGGAATCGTTTCACGCTGTCTCTCTCGCACTCATGGGGCTGGGGCGTCCCGTAGGGTACCGTAGAGGGGTGCGACAGAGACGGAGCGACGAGAAGATCCCTCGGAATCGTGCGGCGGCTGGTCAGGGACCGGTGATCCATATCGGCGCAATATGTCCAGCCCTCTCCGCCTGCCCCGCGCAGCACGGCGCTGTCGGCCAGCCCACCTCGCCGGCGGTAAACAAGTCAATACACCGCGAGTCAATGCCGCCGGGGGGCGCGTCCCGGCGCGTCCGCGCGGTCGTCCCCGGGGTGATATACGTAGAAAGCAGGAAGCATACAGGTGGCCAGCAGACTGATGCCGAGAGTCGTCTTCGTCTCTGTCTCTCTCGCGCTCAAGGGGCGTTTCCTGCGGAGAGAGACGACTCTCGGAGTGAGTCTGCGGGGCGTGGGGCGTGCCTTACCTAGGCAGCACGGCAGGCGGCACGTAGCTCATCTTCTGCGTGGTGAGGCCGTCCACGGGGCACGGCACCTTGTGCACGCGCGCCACCGGCTTCATGGACTGCGCGGCCGTGGCGCCCTGCGGGTGCGCGTACGACATCTGCGTCGTGGTCCAGCCTGCGGCGCAGTGCAACGTTTCGATGCTGTCTCTCACACTCCCTTGGTGCGAGAGAGACAGAGCGAATGAGCCTGCTGTGGCACTTGCCCTCCATCGGGGTGTCGGGGAAGGGCATCCTGGGGTCGCTGAAGGGCTCCCGCCTGCAGTAGGGCTTGGCGCAGTAGTCCACCTTCTGCGTGGTGGCGTCCTGCATCGGCCCGCGGCCCATCAGGTTGCTGCCGAACGGGCGGCATGGCTGGGGCCGCGTCCCGTGCGGGTACTGGTAGCTCAGCTGCGACGCGGCAAGCAACGCTCCGAGTTGTTGTGTTTCCCGAGGTGGGGCCGAATGTTGAAACGCCGACGGGAGCGAACTACCGTCATACCGTGGTGGTGGTGTGCCCGTCGATGACCCCCGGCACCTTGATGGGGCCCTGGTCCGGGCGGCACAGGTCCGGCTTGGCCAGCAGGGCCACCTCTGGCGGGAACCCGGGGTACGAATGCTTGTACACGGTGGAGCCCTCCACGGCTATCTTGGGGTGCCGGTACACCTGGGCCGCAGAGACACAGCCAGTGGGCGGGGCGCGGGGCGCGGGGCGCGGGCCGGCCAGTGGCACCATTCCCTTCTCGCCGACCGCCCGAGCGCCCGCAGAGTCAAGGGTGGGCCAGCCCGCCGAGCCGCCCTGCGCCGCAGGGGTGCCTACCCTCGCGTCCGCGGGCGCTCCCCGCCTTACCTGCTTGGGCGCGCACGACGGCGGCGGCAGCGGCTGCACGTACGTCACGGCCTGCACGCGCCGAACATGGAGATGAGGTAGGGGAGGAGGATGCGCGGCCTGCTTGGTCCTGGCGGCCCGGACGCCCTGCTGCCACTTACCTCTGGGTTCAGGCAGGGGCACTTGCAGGGGTCGCCGGCGGGGCAGCGCGGGGGCTGCAGCAGCGTTTGGGTTGTTAAGTCGCATTCAGTTGCACTTTGATTGTCTCTGCAAGTATTTATTTTTCAGTGTACCTGCATCTGGGGGCAGTTAGAGGGCATGGCTGCGGCTGCTGCGGGGGCTGCGGGCTCTGGTGCTGTCGACACGCTGTGCGCGCGCCCTCCTCAAACAGACCCTCGCCGTTGGCATAGCAACGCGGCGTCACCGCGGCAGGGCATGGGGATGGCATGGGGGCAGCGTCCAGCCACGAGTGCTTCCCCGCGGTGTCCTCAGAGGAGCCACCCTGGCCCTCGCCCCCTCCGCCGCCCCCGAACAAGTTGACGACCCAAATCCAGCACGGGCACATGGCGCCGGAAACCCAGCAGGGCGAGCAGGGCCGCGGGGAGGACGGCGCCGTGCCGCCGTCGGGGTCCTCCGAGACTACGGGTGCCGCGGGTGCCGGCGGCGGGTCCAGGACGCCGCCGAACGCGTTGGGGCTGACCTGGCAGGAGGTGGCGGACGTGCGGAGGACGCACGGGCTGCTGGCGCGGGACGCCACCTCGCACTGCGTGCGGATGCACATCAAGTAAGCCCTGCACCCTAAGACCTGCGGCCCGAGGCAGCGAGAGACCGCCACTCCGAGGTGCGTTCGACCCAAAGTCCGTCTTCCGCAGGTACTTCCGTCGCTTCCCCACGCACCTGGAGCGCTTCTGCGGACGCGCGGCGCGCGCCGAGCCCCTGCACTACGCCCCCGCCGAGCTCAAGAGGGACTCGGAGTTCACCTCGCGCGCCCTCATGCACGGGCTGGCGCAGCTGCAGGTGGATACCGAGAGAACGACCTTTGCTTGAAACTCGGCACGGGGAAAACACATTTTTTGGGGGTTGCGGGACAGTCGCTCCGCTGCAGCTGCACGGGCGACGACGCGATGGCGAGCCAGCTTGCTGCCCTGGCGCGCGCGCACCGAGGGCTGGGGCTAACCAGGGACAGCTGCAGGGTGAGTCTCAGTCCGGCCGGTCTGGCGCCCCAGCGACAACAACAACAACACCGAGACGCCGCTTCCCACGCACTGCTCAGCAATACCGCGACGCATTGCTGGACTACTTGGAGGAGGCGCTGCCGCAGGCCATGACGCCCTCCGTCAGGCAGTCCTGGCGCACCTTCCTCACCACGCTGTGCGACGGCCTGGCTGACTGCCTGGCGGACGGTCTCGACCACCCGGACGAGCAGCGGCGTGGCCCAGGGTGCGGCCCGCAGTCCTCCAGCCAGGCGCGCCGCAACGCCCTCACGTCGTCCTGGGTCGAGGTAGGCCTCGGACAATCAACCCGACCCGACGAAACCTCATGTCAGTTGTGCCACAGGTGACTGTACCACGGTATGCAGCACGAGCTGCCCAAGGGTTGGCCCCTGGTTGTGTACTACACGACGGGGGGCCACCGGACGTCCCACGGCACCCACGGCCGGAGGCGACCCTCCAGCTCCACGTGCACCAAGTGCGGCCAGGCGGCCTGCACGTGTAAGGTGAGTACGTCCCTCTCGCACCCCCGTGCGACACACCGTCAGGCCGTCAAAGCGAGAGAGACGGAGCGGTGGCACCGCCGCGGGTCCCACTCTCATTCGCCGGGGACGACTTGTAGTGGGACACGATCCACGAGGAGAGCGCCTGGAGGCAAGACAGCGACCCGTCGATGCTGGAGAACGCCGAACAGGAGTCCTGTGCTGCACTTGAAGGTCGGCGTGGCAGCACGCTATTGGCTTTGCTTGCCTTCACCTTCCTCACTCGGGTCTTTGACGTTTGTTGTTCTTTCTCAGGGAAACAGAGCCAATGCGCCAGCGAATCACTTTCGGCGGGAACGAGCGCCTCGCAGTTCGCCGCGGAGGGCACACCGTAGGGTCTCTCAAGTCAAGAGCGACCGACCCGCCCGCCCGCCCCGAAGAGATTATTAGCAGTATGAAATACTGTCTACAAACTTAATCATACTATTTACAGACCAATATATTTTTTGATACATACTGCACCCAGAAGGCCTTACACTATCTGCAGTACTGTACTGTACGACATACTGTGGAGCTCGCGGTAGGCCGTGCCTGGCCGTGCCGGCAGACGCCCCAGTCACCCGGTTGCCTACCCGGAGGCCCGCCGGGCGCTCGTCGGCGCGGCGCGCACTCGCCTGGCACTCGCCCGCCCAGCCCAAGGCAGCTAGAGCTACCTAGGTGGGGGTGCCAGCCTTCCCCCTCCCCTTTTCACTTTCTGCAACCCCCCTCCCCCTCGCCGAACCCGAACCCGAATCCCGAACCCGACGACCCGATCCGCCCGGGTGCTCCTCCGAGAGAGGTGGGGAGAGAGGGGTAGGGTAGAATGGTGCAGACAGCGTTTTTATGTGTACTTTCTTCAAAGTGTGTACTTTCTTCTACTTATTAGGAAGCGCGCAGAATGGCCTAGTCGATTAATTTTTTAATCATTGAAGTTTATCGTCCATTCAGCACCTTATCCAATTCCAGACAAAATGTCTGACCCATTGCATTACGGCGACTACGGTTATGACCCAGGTTTGCACTTTATATTTTGCTTCTGTTGAAATCATGGAATTGATAGCAAGGTTTAAAGATTATGCCAGAATTATTTTATTTTGTTTGAAATTTGTTCCCTGTTCAATTATCATTTTTTTAAAAATATTCTTGCGATGTATCTTCGAAATCAAGCTGTTTGATTACAGTTAGTGTTTACCATATGATTCCCAACTATTAGGCAACACGCGTTAACAAAGGCCATCTTCACCGGTGGAGTCACTGCCTATTCTTTCTATGATGATTAATCAAAAAATGTCTGTTGTTAGGTTGAAAGCGATTGGTAATGGATGCTGCTTGCTATGCTGGCGTCAGAGCTATGTGCTGTGTTGTGTCTCATTATAACTTTTTAAAAGTTTTATTAGGTCTTTATACAATTTTTCAACAAATTTCTTCATCTTGTTGCGCAGCCCTTGGAATGGGAGGTCTTCAAGATATGAAACCTGAACCACCCAGTCCTACTGAATCGCCATACTACAGACGAGACAGTGTCGGATCAGGCCTTGCTGCACCTTCTACTCACAACTCTAATGAAAATCTAAGTAGCAGTAGTGGCCATGGTAGGATTTCTTTGTGAATAAACAATATTATGAGTTATAACAATTTTGCAAAGCCTGCAAGAGGACTTTGGCAGTGTGGCTGCTTATTTTTCTATATTCTTTACAGAGGATGATGACAGTGATCACAAAGGCTCTGGGTCTCTGAGCTACAAAGAACGCCGCAGGGAGGCTCACACACAAGCGGAACAAAAGCGTAGAGATGCCATAAAGAAAGGCTATGACTCTTTGCAACATCTTGTCCCAACATGCCAGCAGACAGACTCATCTACTTCCTACAAACTGAGCAAAGCCACTGTCTTGCAAAAGTCAATAGATTATATACAGGTGTGGCTTGTTACCTGTTTATAATAATGTTCTCTGTAAGACATACTGCATATTTGTTTTAGTTCATTCAAACATTATATGATTCCTCCTGCAGTTCCTTCTCCAACAGCGCAAAAAACAGGAAGAAGAGAGGAATGCTCTACGCAAAGAGGTTGTAGCTTTGAGTATAATGCGCATTAATTATGAACAAATGGTTAAAGCGCAGCAAGCTCAGCCAGGGCAACAAGACACTAGAATTTCTGATGACACAAAGTTCAAAGTGGTATGCAATAATTTCAGTATAATTACGTTTAATTCTTAGATCAAAATACCAAAGTGTGTATCTTAATATTTTTCATTGGCAGTTTCAGGCTATTATGGATCAACTGTTTTTGTCATTTAGCAATGCATCTTTTGCCAACTTTGCTGAACTGTCTGCTTCTATATTTAGCTGGCTGGAGGAACAGTGCAAGCCCCAGGTACAACTTTGTTGCAATGTCAAAATGGTGAATGGTAGTCAAAGAAAATTTGTAACTTCTGCCTTGTTTCTGCTTTACAGACCCTCCATGATCTTGTAGCCTCAGTACTACAAAGATTGAGTTTCCCTCTGGGACCAGGGAACATGCGAATGTGATGCTGGAGATTGGTCCTCTTATTCCAGTTATGATGGTTCAGACATTGTCTACTATTATTTCTTTGATGTGATATTAATGCACAGAATTGAGAAGAATTCTGGGAACTTTAGAACACTTTTAAAAGTTCTCTTGATTAGTTGTATGCATTGGTTTCATTGATAGCTGTAAGCATTCAAGGGCGATTTTTAATGTCTGATAAATAGGCATCAACAAGGCATGCTTCTGTTCCGGTTGAAAATGCAGCAATTGATAGATGCGGTCTGTTGCTTTATAGTTTTGTTGTATTTACTGCATCTCATGAAGAAAAATGATAATGGAATTGGGAGAAAAAAAGTGCTCTACTTTGGAGGGGAAATGATATACTTACAAACTATGTACACACACATATATACATTTATAAATATTTTACCGTATTTGTTATAAGGCATTATGACCTGACAACCCAGTATGTTGGGTTTTTATCTTGTTTATTTTATTAGAGGCTGCTTTCTCAGTCAACAATTTTTTTTTCTAGCAAGATGTTTTTTGTTTATATTTGAACAGAGTCTACACAAAATACATAGTGAGAATTATGTCCTTAAATGATTTATGATTGTGATAAAACATGCCAACTGGTTGGTTTACTCATTTTGATTGGTGGGCCAATACACATTTTGGACTATAAAATAAATACTTAGTTTTGTTACAACTGACTTTTATCATTACAATCCTTGCAAGGGCTCAAGTCTGGAACATAAACTCAAAGCATTATCATATTCTAAATTTATTTAGAAACAGAATTGCTCTAGCTTCCGGCAAACAAATAGTAAATTGTTTGAATGGGTTCTAGAATACTGTAGTTCATGGTGCAGATAAGAAACACTACAGCAGGGAAACGACATTAGATTGAGAGAAAATCAGTACCTAATGAGATTTCAAATACACCTAGTACATTCTTTTTCTAAAAATTTGTGCAATGGTAAAAAAAAATTGAGGAGGGTGACAAAGTTACACAATAAATTCACACACAAAAAATCAGCAGCTGGAAGAAACACTGGTACAAATTTCTTGTTAGGAATCTTTATGATGTGGTTTAATTAAGAAAGGAGCAGTGGACCTGAGGAACCCTTTCTCAAATTCTCGAACAGAGAATCGATCCACAGAAGACCTGCAATAATAACTTAGCTACAGAAATGCAAATACTAAATGTGATGATGAGAATGTACTTATGATAAGAAAGGCAACACATACCTAGCAGCTTCCCTTATTGTGCGGCGCTCTTTAGGAGACATTTTTAAAATTTTCACGATGGCAACTGCAAATTCATTTTCATCAGCAGCCAAAAACCCATTGCGACTTCCTTCTTCCTCAATAATAATATCCATTTGAGGCCCACCAGAGCGATGAGCCACCATGATAAGACCAGCTGCCATACACTCCACTACACCTACGGACAGATTGACAACATTGAAATAAAAACAATAATATTAATAATGATAATAATAAATAGTCAAGATTCAAACTGTTACCTATTCCAAAATGCTCATTCCACATAGCATGAAGTCCAATAGTTCCCTCTTGCAACTCCTTTTTCAACTCATCATAGGGAACATTGACGCGGAATTGCACATTGTTTTCAAGGGACAGATGTCTGCATAAATCTTTCATATCCTTCACACGAGCCTCATCAGCCGCTCCTCTACAGGACCCAACAAAAACTAAACATATCTGCAAAAGGTGAATTATCATTAAAAGATATGAAAAGTGGGGGATAAAACAATTGATACTTATCATATCTTACCCTATCCCACAACTCCTCAGGCAGCCATTGACGTAGCTGATACATAGAGCGTAGTTGCAGTGGGTGATCCTTTTCTGGCCTGAATTGTCCAACTGAAACTATCTTTATAAGTTTCTTCCCCTTTTCACCTTTGGTGACATTAAAATACAGTAAGTGACTAAGAAACATTTATGAAAATTAAAAAATAAGATGATCTAGTGATACTGGTGATACCTGTGGGCAAGCCTCTCAAGAAGTCTTCATCATCAGTGATGGGAATTTTCTTCAGCTCCTCTGTGTCACATGGCGGATAAACACGATGCGTTCTTAAAGGTATATTCCAAATGTCATTTATATGTTCTTCTGTCCAGCTGGAGTTAACCATAACAATCTCTGCACAACGTCCCATGACCCCATAGATCTACAGTATGCAAAATAATTTGTTTAATAACATTTAATGCCAGATTGAAGCAATATTGCAACTGTTTTGTAGTATAACTTACCCATGCAAACATTTTGTAGTAGATAATTTTGCCCCCGGTAAGGAAAGGACTGCGTGCAACATAATGACTATTGTTATACTGAGCAGTGCGACTTGAAACACGCCTCAGCATATCTGTAGATATTGTAGGGTAGTGAGTGTAACATCCAACGCGACACCCCCCAATGTATCGAAATAGAGGAAGTGTGAAAGCATAACCCATTGTGTCCAGGTAAACATCTAGGAGAAAAAAAATCATATAAAAATCATATACAGATATGTCATAAAGTTTTTGTTATGAAATCTAAAATACAAACCAATGGTTACCTGGTAAAAATGCATTCAGAGCTTCCATGCCTAATATTAAAGATCCCAAGCTCTGCCCTAGAAGGGTGAATGTAGGATACTTAGCGGCTTCCACCCAACCACGCTGATGCAGGTAAATAAACTCGACTGGTTCTGGTAGGTCAATATTGAGTCGCTGACGGACCCGATTAACAATTTCGTCAGGGGACGCTTCTAAATCTCCAGTGTAAACGACAACTTTGGTACCAGGATACCTATAAAACAAATAATATTAGAGATCTGAAAAATGCATTGATGATATAAATCAGTTTTGTTTAGTAATACCTTGTCTGTAGGGAAGCAACTGCACACCAAAGGACTCTTTCCCCTCCAGCTCCAGTATTACAATACGGATGGAAAAATGCTACACTCAGAGGCTTTTCAGGATTGCTCTCCATTTCACGTTTCTTTCTGAAGTGCTGCAACAAACGTCCCATTCTTTCAAATGTGATATCAGGAAAAATCTGAATACGTGGTTGAATAAAGAGGATGTCAAACCTTTCGTGAAGTTACAATCATAATTGGAAGAACGACGCTCAACACCGCCAGTGACAAGACAACCAAGATGGTCAGCACCTTGATGGCAATCCATAGTGGATCCCTGAAATTAGCACCAAATAAATAAGTCACAAATGATTTATCGATTGTAAAGGACACTCACGACAATGTACTTACATCAAACACGATAAACACGCCATAGTCCAAAAAAGTTAGTCTTCTTTTTACAAAATTTACAAATTATGTGGAAGGGTTGAAGTCGTGGAATCAGTGCCAGAGTTCATTAAGACGCTGCTGACGATTCGTCTAACACGTCATAACATCGTTACAGACTTCTCAAACAACAGCGGCAGCATAAGGCTTACTAGAAACAGTTTTGACAACAGGAAAAAAAATTATCGGCATTCGGCGTCGACTGCTTCGTCGCGTCGACTGCTTTCGGCTGTTTACGTTATTGCTGTTTCTCTACTCTACCAACTGGTGGCGCTAGTGTCGTGTTTTGAACTCGGTGGTGGGGGGTATAGTGCAGGCGCTACAAGGGATGACTTTCACTTTACTTTAGTGGTGGGGGTGGGGTGAAGGCGAAGTCCCCGCGTTCGGGGTTCGGTGGTTCGGTGGGCGTTCGGAGACGTAATCAAACCAGACAAAAATTTCTAACCTGTTCCATACAACATACTTCTATTTCAGTTCTTTGAATGACAAGATTTCAACCTGATTTTGCTGAACTCTTGAACAGTGTTTAGAAAATATTTAACTTAGTCATTATTATGTCATGATGGCAGCAACTCACATTTACGATTTGACTAGGAATTGTTACATTATTTCAAACCTGTACATAATTCCTTGAAATGTAATTTCAAAACAAACAAGGTATTTGTTATTATGTCATTTTCGATTGATTTATCCGAATCACGCGTGTGTCAATCATCTGTTAACAAAGTTTCCTCATTGCATATTTACATTTGTTCCACAATTTTTCTAGAACTTTCATAGATTTAGCTTCAAAGAAATTTCATTTTTATTTCTTAAGGACAATTTCTTTTTTTTCCTCTCAGCATTAGCCTTTAACTGTAGTCCCAACCAGTGATTCAAAATGCCTCTACTAAAATCACAGTCTCCACTTCCGTTGGAGGAGCTGTGCCTCTTAGCTGTTATAAGATGTCTCGAAACGGACCTCATTTTATGTGAGGTTGCCAAAGGCCTACAGGCTAACTCGCTTCTTCTTCGGAGAAGAGATTTAAGCATGACTAGAATTTCTGAAGAGCTGAGGGATTACATGGCATTCTTACCTGGTATATTGAGTGAAATGGTCCGTCAAAAGATTACCAACAAGTAAGGGACACAGTGTCATCTTTTCTTCTTCTTTTTCTTTTGCAAAAAGATTCTGTGTTGTGAAAATAAATTTTTACTTTTGCAGGGTTTTAAAGAAATATACTAGAATGTCACAGCCCGAGACATCTCCATTGGGCTTGCCATTGCACACAATGACTGTGCGTTTGCTTGAAATTGTGCTAGATGAAGAAGTTAGGACATTTGATATGTCAGAATTTCAACCACTGCTGAGGACTGCACAATATCGACCACAGCAAGGGATTCCTGAAGTATGGGAACTTGTACTTGGCAGATGTCGAGGGTTGCGCAAGTATGTAACTGTAACACAGTTGTGTGTTCAGCAAGAGTAAACTTTGCTTGCACCCTTCACCATGTTTCTTCTCTTTTCCTCAGATTCTCATTGCCACCATTGCTGTCAAGCACGCTTGGCATCAACATGAACGATTTTCTGAAGTCCGTGGCTCGTCAATGTAATAAACTCACAGAAATTGTATTGAAAGATGCTGTTCATGATGGAAGGGTGAGATTTTGTATTCAGTTACTGCTTTTTGTAAATTAAATATTGCACACAGCTTTACTATTTGTGTTTCATCTTCGTATGTTCTAGGTGCTTGCAGCAATTTCTAGACATTGTCCGTCTGTAAGACTCCTTGATCTTACAGGATCGAACATAACATGCATGGACATTCTTTATCTAGTCTTCCCAGGTACAGGTGAGGTACCTCGTGCATTCTTACCCGATGAAATGGCACGTCTAAAACGCTTAGCTATGCAGGTAAATAGTTCGAAATTGTAACTTATAAGGGTACCTTATAAGGTTTTTACCAGGGAGTGATGGGGAAAATAGGTGGTTCTTGTCTGTCGATCAGTGTCTTGTTTCAGCTCTGTTTTATTAATTATTCAAAATAGGTAGTCCAAATAGTAATTCTCTCTTTTGTTTTGAACAGCCTGTTCCAATTCAGAATCAGTCATACAATGCCCTGTGTGGCACTATGAGAGACCTTATTCTAACTAACACAAAAGTACGGGCTCTTGGTGCTTACTTTGCCCTCAAGTTTATGCCCAATATTACCTCGCTTGGGGATTTTGTATTCGCAACAGCAGGGCTCAAAAAATTCTGGCAAGAATCTAAATACAAATTTGTGTTAAAACAGGTACGTTCTGTTTTTGGTTCAACAATCTGTTTTATTTATTGTCATTCTCCTAATCCAGGAACTGTTTTTTCTATAGATTTTCTACCGTGGCCCATCATGTGAAAAAGTCAAGTTAATTGGAGCCACATGCCCTGATTTAGAAGTACTACACCTTGGATCAGATGATGCAAAGAGACTGAATTTTAAGGTTTGTTTGAAGCTGTTCAGCCTTATACTTATTTATTTTGTGTTGTTTTTATATGCTTTTCACCTTCCCTGTAGCATTTATCAAAATTACCAAAGTTGAGGAGTTTGACTGTTGAGTTAGCACATGGAGTTGAAATTGGTCCAGAACTAGCACATTTGTCGCAACTTAGAGAATTGCAGGTTGGTGAAACTTTCTATTTTACATTGCTATTTTATTTTAAGAAATCACCAAGCGCATGTAATAAACATCATATTCTCTAAATTACTTGTAACTTTCAGCTTCAAGTTCCTAATGTAGACGTAGGTCTTATTGCGGATTCATGTCCATTGCTTCAAAAGTTGGTTTTAACACTGGAGCCTCAGAAAACTGTGACTCTCTCTCATGATAAAGAACACACAATTCTGGGGCATCTTCAAGAACTTCAGGTAACTATCTTTGCCTAGCTGCCCTCTGATATTCTGATGTTGTCATAATGTGTTGCTAATAATTGTTTCTGGTTCACAGTTGGAATGTCAAATATCATTAGATGTTGCAGCTTTACTCTTGACACGCTCTCCCAAACTCAAAGTTGTGAAATTGGTCAGAGTGAAGAAACTCACGGACCGTGTTCTGGCAGAATGGTTACAGATCAACCCATTCGAACACTTAGAAACAGTAAGGACCTGTTTTCTATAACATTAATTTGATATGTACTCTTTTGTGATTAATATAGATGTGATTCCTCCCCCTACAGTGGCTTTTAGGATACTCTCAGCTAACAATAACGAGTGTGTCCTTATTACTCTCACGCTGTCCGAGATTGTCAACTCTTGGCCGATTGTCGGGCTGGGATGTTAGATCGTGGGAGTCACGGCGTCTTCAACGTGCCTGGCAAAATTATGAACTGAATTTAGTACATTTTTCACGCAAACAAAATGATGTATCCCAAATAATGGACGCTACTGTAAGCTCAGATGATGAACCACTTTAGAAATCTCCACTTAATTTTTGTTGTTAAAACGTAAGTCAATTAAGAAGATTCCAAAATTGCATCTGATTTGCTTAATATGCATGTTTGGGCTATTAGCTAACATACCCAGATCTGGACTGTAAATAGGCAATTGTTGCTACTTCACCCCCTCCCTTTTGTTAAAGACCATTTCTGTGTCCACCACTGTTACATTCTGTTTTAATTTTTGGTCAGCATCATTTTTGTGAGAATTTCTGAGTGTTCTAATATTATATTTGCAATTCAACCTATCCCTAATTAATTGAAATGTCTTTATAAAATGGGGGAAATCGTCTGTTTTGTGTTGTTCAAGCCGCAATAATGAAATTTTATTCTAGATATCTACAACTTCTGTTTTTGTAATTAGCATTCTTTTAGATACTGTTGTGTGATATTTTGAGTAGTTCATTGAGGTAATAAGACTCATCCTAGAATGGTGATTGTAATAAGCCCACTGAGAACCACTGTGCTTCCATTAGTGCACCTCCCAATTTTGTCATCTAGACAGCTGCGATTGGAATCGATGTCTTGTTTCACATACTTCTGTTTGAGTAATGTTTGTCTTTATAGAGTTTGTGATCTCTCAGTCTGTGATAGAATTGTTATGGAAAGTATTTGCTTTTGCCTCCAATATTTACACTGTATTTGACTAATGTAGCCTGAATTACTTTTCATCTATACAATAAACTTGTATGCAACCTCCTTGTAAGTTGACTGATCACTTATGTTACACACATCCTGACGTGATTCTCCTTGACTTCAGCATGTTTCCAACTCCTCTTAAAAAAAAATTAAAATTATTCAAAAATATTCTAAATATCGGGACAGGTTTATAAAAATTTAACAAAAAATTTGAAGGTGTGTCTTTATTTTCCCACAATTCACTTTTACAACCTGTGCAGCACAGATATGAAGGAAACATTACAACTAATTAATTAATACATGAAACCTGTGTTGATGAAATTTCAATAAAATCCAATTGGATGACAAGGCACTAAGATGAATAAGTTAAGAATGACAAGGTACAATGGTTTAAAATACTATCTGCCAAGACGAGCATCAGCCACTGTTTGAACAATAGATTTTTTCTTGACATTGTAGGAGTAGTGATTGGCTTTAAAGATTCGGCTATCATAAAATGGTTTCACATCATGAATATCAATTTGGCGAGCTTTGTCCATGAAATCTTTCTCACTGATTTCAATGGTGGTGATATCATGAGCTGAACCATGCAGACCTCGCATGAAGGCAAGTTGTTCTTGGGTCATTTGTCGTAAGATGTAGTACAAGAGCTCACTATGATCCTTCTTGAAGGATAAGTATTTCTGGAATGTTTGCCGCATGGTCTTCATAACACTGTATTTCTGAGTTTCAACAAAGCTTTCCAACATCATTCGAATAGCCATGTTGACATCATCTTCTTGGACATAGTCACGAAGGTGCATGCGAGCTGATGCTTCTGCCATGCGGATCATACTTTCAATGTGACGAGCAGTGATGGGTAAACTGCCTGTAGCCTGATAAGAAATATTTGAATGAGTAAAAGTGGAGAAAATAGTTCAAATCATTGAAAAGGGATAATTTTTGTTGAGATCTTACCAAAGACTCCTGTCGAAGTTGGCTGTACATTTTGGCAACTTTGTCTTGATCCATGTTTTGGAGCTTAGGGTGAGCATGTTGTTTTGAATACACAATGTATTTCTTAAGAAGCTCTTGAGGAATTGGTTCAACATTAGTAGACTGCAGAGGGTCAACTACAACTGTCTCAGAAGCTGTATCATTGACCTTTGTAGGGTGGTGACGGATGTGAGATGAAACAACAAACTTAGCAAGTCTTTCATCCTGCATTGGGTCTGCTTCATCCCTCACAACACACAAAATATCAAAACGAGACATAATAGGTTCAGACAGATTCACCTACAAATAGAAAACACAGGAAAAACATTAGCCAAAAGATAATAAAAATCTAAGTGATCATCACTTATTATTAAAACTGATGGGCTCACATTTTCTGAGAATGTCATGCTGGGGTCATAGCGTCCACCAATTGGGTTAGCAGCAGCTATCACAGAGCATCTGGCTTGCAGAGAGGCCACTATTCCTGCTTTGGATATGGAAATAGATTGCTGCTCCATAGCTTCATGGATTGATGTTCTGTCCTGATCATTCATTTTATCAAACTCATCAATGAGGCACACACCCTGGTCAGCAAGGACCAAGGCACCAGCTTCCAAAGTCCACTCTCTACTTGCTGGCGATCGTCGGACATATGCAGTCAAACCAACAGCAGAAGCACCCTGACCAGTTGTAAAAACAGCTCGAGGAGCAATTTTTTCCACATACTTCAAAAATTGAGATTTGGCTGTGCCAGGGTCACCACATAGTAGAACATTGATGTCTCCTCTTAGCTTGTGCTTTTGACCTGAGTTTAAGAAAAAACATGAATGTAAACAAGGATTCAACATGAACATAAACCTGACAAAGAGATGAAGGTATGACAGAAGTACCTGGGTTTTTGGACTCTCCTCCAAACAGGGCAAGAGCCATAGAGCGTTTTATATAATCATGACCAAATATGGATGGTGCCATGCTGGCAACAATCCGATCTCCAATGCGGTGATCTTTAGCTAACTTTTGAATAGCTGACACATCTTCATCCGTCAAAGATTGCACAATTTGTTTGCAGTCTTTGACAATTATGTAATTTGCCATTATCACTGTTGCAAACACCTGCATAAATGAAAGAGATTCACATTGAAAACAGTCCACACAGCATTTGAAAAAAATCTTGCAGAACCAAAAAATCAAACTTACCGGGAAGCCCTGGTCAGTGTTAAGAGAGCCATCATAATTGTTGGTATAAATACCAGTAACATCTACTTCATCTCCAGGCTTACAGCGATCACAAAGATCTGCCAACAGGATGCAATCCTTTGACCTCGGAATACGTCCAGCTGGAATGCGGCCAGGAGATTCTTGAACAGTGACTTTCTGGTAGTTTCTGTACACTGTTTGTTCCATATTTATCTAAAAATTGTGAGGGCACATAATTAATTTTTCACTAGCCTAGAAACTAAATATAAATAAATATATATGGATGAGAACACATAGTTACCATGAATGGACCTGTGCTTTGACACTCAGGACAGGAACCTGGTTTCACTTCTACATCTTGGTTCTGAACAAAAGGTCCCAAAATATAACCACACTTGTTGCAGTCATATTTAACAATACTTAACTGGGGTAGCACTCCAGTTGTTGCTGTCACAACACCACTAGTTCTGACAAGCTGGTTGAGATGAATTTTCCTAAATAGATATTAATGAATATCATGAGATTAATGAGAACCAAAACTGACACACATGCAGAGGAATGACAGAACAAGAAGAGTACCTGAAAGTGCGAAGATCCTCGATAAGAGGCAGCTCAGAAATTCTCACATGGATGGTACTTGCGACGCGCTCATAACTAGGAAATATGGTCAACACAAGCTCTTTGGCAACTTCATCAAATATCTTCAGCATTTCTGAGGGAGCGTCAGGCAGGAAAAATGCTAAGACATGTTCTTTTGCGGCCAGTGCAGGAAATTCAACCTTGGAGAGGAAAAAACAAGAAGTAAATCTAACAATGGAATATTTAGAATTTCAAAGCTAGGTTTGGGAGTTACAACTAAGATATACACCTCCAAACTGCTGTGATTGTTTTCACACATGCGCCTGATGCGATCCTTATAAACATATTGGCCTTTACTGTTGACATAATTCCTTAAGAAATTTTTGAAACGATTTGCAATTTCAGTTCGTGGACCTAACATGGACACCCATTCTTTGATTGAGTGACCCTTAGTGTCTTCAAGATTTTCAATGGACTCAATCATGTCAGTATCTTCCATTTCCCCAGCAGCTGCCTTTTCAGCCATTCGGCGCTTGCGGCGAGGTTCATCCTCCTCATCACTGTCATCGTAGATCAACTCTCGGTCACCACGCCTTCCAAGCATTCCTCCCTCTCGGTCACGCCGCTTCATGGCCATTTCAGCAGCTTGACGGTCTGTCTGAGACATGGTGTCATAATCTTCATCATCTAACACATCTGGATCGTAGCGATCAAGGCCTGACATGGGACGGTAATCCCTGAAACAAAGCAAAGACATTGCATTCAAACATCCCATGGAAGCCACAAGCTGTGCGACACAAATAACGAATAAATTTAACATACGCCTCCATGTTGTCCCCAAACAGCTCCTCGCCATCTTCTTCCTCATCTTCAAATCGTTGAACTCCATCATCATCTCCCTCGCCTCCAAGCAAGTCACTTTCGTCTTCAAAGGGTTCCAGGTCGCGTACTGGAGACGTGACAGCTTCGCGGCGGGCATCTCCCACAGACCTGTCCAAGTCTGGGGTGTCGCGCCCGTTCTGTGAACAAAGACAACCTGTTGAGACCAAAGGCTATCCTCTAACCAGAGTACTGAAAACATGGTCTATGCGGCCGGACTGTAAACGGCGACAACAGAGCGATTGGATTGAAGCAGACACAGGAATGTACCACACACCATAAGAAACTGCAGAAAAGGAACCCTGACAAAAGCGATAACGCCGGACCGGGTCGCGCAGAGCACGAAAACGAAAACGCTCTAAAAAGTTTCCAAGGAGGGCGGAAGAGTGCATCACGAATCGTTGGCGCAACAAAATGCTTACCGATGACATGTTAGAAGACACTCGAAAGACGAATTAAAGCGTAAATGAACGAGATAACCGAACTCCAAACAATAACCCGTCCTCCCGATGCTGCTGCCTGGCTGCTGCAGTCCAGATTGGCGCGAAAACTCCGTGTTTTTGTTGTTGTTTGTGATGTTGTTGTGTATTCTACATTGCCAACCAATTTTCTTTTAAACCGATAAATTAAATCACATATATTAGGCTGTAAAGGATTAAATCTGTTCTAAAAGAGAACTCAAATATGTAAAATATCCTTTTTTATCTGACTTCTTCAGCTTAGAAACTAACTTTACCTGTTTTTAACTAGGATTTTGTGATGGTAATGATACCTGTCGTCTGACTCAATTTCTCATATTTCTCATTTTCTCATCACCATCAACAACATCAAAATCCAAACAAGTGTAGCAGGAACTTGAAATGGAAGTAGAAATACTGGACATCGGTGCAGCCTGCAGGTTGTGCCTTTCCGTCAGCTCGAATCACATACCTATATTTCATGAATCCGAAGCAGATTTTATGGATCCTGCATCTTTGCCTCAGAGAATCGGAACTTGTGTGGGGTTTGAGGTTAGTTCTGCCCTTTTGAATTGGTGTAAAATTGAATTGGTGTAAAATGGTATGATTTTCTGTGTTGTGCTATCAATCCTCTCTCTTACAACTCTTTGATTGGTGTTTAAAAATTACAGGTGAGAGAAAATGACGATTTCCCGTCTTTGATCTGCTGTAGCTGCCTCCAGGAGGTTGATCGGTGGTTTGTTTTTCGTACCCAATGTCGAAACACTCATGAACTTCTGAGCAAGGTTCTTGTCGAGGGATGCCAGTTTGTGGCAACACCTGTACAAGTAAAGGTAGCATAATAATGTATTGGTTACTGTGCTATGTTTTCAACCGTTTAGTTTAGGATATAGATGGCTCATTTTGTTACAGGCTATTGGATCAAAGGAAGCGATAGAAATTACTGTTCCAAATGAATCATCGGAAATGGAAAATGCTGTCCAAGGGCACTGTGACTCTGATGAACAGGGCAACCACACTTCTACTATTAAACCTGTGAAATCCGGAGATCAGATGGTCAATGATGGCAAAATCCCTTCAGAAAGTTTTGACAATGATGACAATGAGGCCAACAATGAGCCTTTTGAAATTGGCAGTGCTTCTGATGATGATGATGATAATGTTGATGATGATGATGTTGATGATGATGATGATGATGAGAATGATTTTTCTGGTGATAATGGCCTCTCTGGAGAAACCAGTGATGACACTAAATGGCGCCTGAAACCTGTATCCTGTCCAATATGTTCAAAATCCTTCAGCAAGCACTCTGGTGTTAAAACCCACTTGAGGATTGTTCATACTGTACTAAAGTTATATCCTTGTTTAATATGTGCTCATGTCTCCTGCTTGAGCAGTGGGCGTATTAAGCATATTGCTAAAAGACACCCAGAAGAAATTTTAAAAAAGAACACTTGCAGAATTTGTGGAATTCGTGTGAAAACCAATAGCTCATTTCAGCGGCACCTAAGAAAACATGCAAGTGAGCGTGTGTGTAAACTTTGTCATTTAGAGCTAGATTCCATTGAAGCATTGATTAAACACAAAAAAACTGTTCACCAACACCGAGAGGAGCCTCCTGATGGGATCGATCATAATTTCTTCTGTCATCACTGTGAAAATGTCTCATTTTGGAAGGAGTCGGACTGGAGAGCACACTACCTAGATGTCCATAATACAGAAGATGTTTTTCCATGCAATATGTGTGACAAAGCATTCAGGAGCAAGAGTTTCAGAGCAGATCACATGCGCTATCACACAGGTGAAAAGCCTTTCATGTGTGAACAATGTGCCTCTAGATTTTCTTCCAAGCACGCTCTTAGAAATCATATGTACGTTTCAGGTGTAATGTAAATGCCTCAAATTATCTGCCTTAGCCACAAATTAATAAAGGTTACCTCCTGTCTTTCACAGGCGAAAACATACATCAAAGTTCCAGTGTGATGTATGTAACAAAAGATATACATCAAATGCAGGCCTATACTATCACAAGCGTACACACACTGGGGAGAAACCGTATGTGTGTCATGAATGTGGTAACCCCTTCAAATCACATCAAGGTCTACAGTTTCACATGCGCATCCACTCTGGTAATTTTTTGTTTGTGTTCCTATTTAAAATTTTTGCATGAAAGTAAAGTAAACTGCTGTTTGTCCAATCATGTAGGTATTTATATTATTATTTCTTTGTGTTCTAGGAGAAAAACCGTATGGCTGTGACAAATGTGATTACACATGTAGAACTTCATCTGCTTTGTATTCGCACAAAGTTTCACATACAGATGAACGCCCTTTTAAGTGTGATGATTGTGGGAAGACTTTTAAAATGAAATCATGGCTGAGAGAACATAAAAAAACACATTCTGGAGTTAAAAATTTTGTTTGTGAAATTTGTGAGCATGCATTCATTGCTGCTTATCAGTTAAGGAGCCATATGAAGACTCACTCAGGTGAACGGTCGCATGTCTGTGAATTCTGTTCAAAAACATTTGCAAGAAGAGATACATTGATGGAGCACTTGAGAACCCATACTAAGGAGACAAAATACTCATGTCAAAGCTGCAACAAAGATTTTATGTTTTTGAAGCAATTTAAGAAACATAAATGCTCTAGTTCTAGTTCTTTACTTGAGACTGTGCAGGAGTTGACTGTCTCTAGTTGTTTTGATGACAGTGATTAGTGGTTTGTGTCGGGTATCAATTGAGATTTAAAAATTTGGCACAGTAAAATTTTATTTTTATTATTGGTGGCTGATGTCTTTTTTTGTTTAAGCAAGTATGAAGTTGTTTTTTTTTCTCTTGCTTTCTACTTTTTACTTTCACTTTCTAAAAACATGAGGCGAATTAAACAAAATTTTTCTAAATTTGTCTTGGTGATTAAGTGGTACAATTCTGTCATGAGTAGCCCATCAGATGATGCATTGGTCTAACAAATGATTTTTCTGTGGCTTAGTATTTGCTTCTTTTTATCAATCTGTTACAGTGATACTGTAACCAGGGTAGTAACGAGAAAGCAATGCAGCCGCCAGGTTGTGATCTGCCTTGCCAAGTCCCTGTGAGAGAAAAGTACCAAAATCATTTTATTCTGATGCCACAGCCTGTATGTGTCATGTGTGACTGTTAAAAATGACTCACATGGGACATGCCTCCAATGGTGATGGTTCTTGAGCGAGGATCATGCACAATCTGTCCTCCACCAAGGCTCTCTACTTGTACACCCTGTGAGTTCATTGTTGTCTTCTCTGACTCATAAATGTCATCTGGAAGCAAAAAAAGACAGAAACAAAATAGGAATTATAACATGTTTCAATATTCTCAAACATTGTTGTTTCACTCTATGCCTATTCCAAATGACGCAGAGCCAGGCCCCTGCTCCCTGCTCCACGCACTCCACGCAAGCAGACGCCTCGACGCCTCCCAGGCTTCACTCATCCCACAGCCAATTACTTCTAAACACCGCAAAATAGTCGTGACGTGTCGGCGGGCTTAGATATTGGAAGGGTGGAGGGGCAGCCCCGAGGCCTCGAGCCTCGTGCTCCAAGCAACTCCGCTTTGTAGCGACGCTGGCGGCAGTCGGCAGTCCGCCGCTGCGCTGCGCGGTCAGCCTTCAGGCTTCAGCCGCCCGGGTAGGCAGCCGCCCCGGCAGCGGCGCGCGCGAGTCTTGCGGGCTGGCCTACCCTCTCGATGACAGGCGCTCCCCGAGACCGGACCCCACCCCGAGTTTAGTCTCGTCCAGGAGACTTGGCTGCTCATCCCGCCTCGCGCCAAGGCCGGCAAGGCCGGCAAGGCAGCCAGACACGTACTCTGCCTGCATGCCGCCTCCAGATCCCACATCTATCACTCATTCGGAGAGAAGAGAGGGAGGGGGCGAGGCGCTCCGCGTAGCTCCGCGTCGTGCGACGTGGAGCCTCGGCCCGATATTCCAATGGCCTCTCTAGCCTGTTGTCTGGAAGCCAGTCGGGGCGGCCCGCTTGGCGGCGTGGGCCAGGCCCTCGGCCAGGCCCTCCAAACCTCCGGCTGTCTGTTGTTATTAAAAGGGGGACCAACGAATTGGACGGCGGGGCCACGCCGCCCCGGGCCGATTGAATGATTCAGCTCGCGATGGCTGATTGGGGGGAGAGTCTCGTTCTTCGTCGTGTTGCTGTGCCGTACAGCCGAGGATAGGCGCCCACTCACACGCGGCACGCGTGCACACAGACAGACACACACACACGCGGCACGTGCAGACGATAATGATGCCCGTGCCCAGATTGGGCGCCCCGGCATGTGATGGAGGAGTCCCCTCGCCGCAGCGCCGTGCCGCGGCTCACTGATTCTGCACACGTGAACGTCGCTGCCGTCGTTGTCTCTCCCGCACTCGTGCGGCGCCCCGTGTGGGTGCGAGAGAGACAGGGCGACGAGACGCGCCGAGCGGAAGCAGTGGCACGGAGTGGGACGGAGTGGGACGGAGTCGTGGCTGATCTGACTTCACGTCCGAACGCTGAGAGCGCGCGCGGAATGAAAGGGGGTGCGGTAATGGCAGAGAGGTAAGAGGATCACGGCGAGGGAGGGAGTCATTGCTCTGATTGGCACACAGCGGACGCGCGCCCACCGCGGCGAACCAATCAGACGGCGACCCCGGCAGCGGCGGCAGCAGCACGGCGAGGCCCTGGAAACCCTCGTCGAGCACGAAAATGAAACGCAGCGAGGCGCGCACTTTGCAATTTTATCGGGACAGGCTGCTGAGAGTCGAGTCCTTTGTACACAAGATACGCGTTGTAGGGTGTAGGGTGATTTGCTTTGCATCGGCATCACCAATTCCACGCCCCCCTCCCCTCCAGCCTTAAGCCCTTGGAATCCCGTTTCACTCGCTACACTGCCACAGCGCCATAGCGGCTTCGGCGTGACGAACGGGCGCGCCTGGCGAACGTGACGGCACACTGTCACATTACTCGTCGCACTGACGCGCGTCACTGTAACCTGTCGCAAGGAGAGCAGACAGCGGACGGGCCGGCGGAGGAGCAGGATGGCGTCCTGGAGGCAGCGAGGCAGCGCGGCAGCACGCGTGGCGTGGGGTAGGTCGCGCTGGGTCTTGGCTTCTCGCAGTTCTCGTTACTCGGAGTGTCGGGGAGCGGACGCCCCGCGCGCCGTGCCTTGCGAGGAGCAAGGAAAATGAACGAGGAAAGACTTCTAAAAACAACCGCCTGAGCAGCGGTACAGCGGTACATCTCGCTGAGGATCATCCTCCCCGAGTCCTTCCCTGGCGTCGTCGCGGCGCCGTGAGTCACGTGTACTACGTGCGCTCGCGTGCGCCTCCACCGCCGCCAGGGCATTGTTGTTGTGGGCCAGGCCCGGCCAGGCCCGGCACGCCTAGAGGCACGCCACGCCGCGCCGAGGGAGCAGCCAGGAGCAACGCCCCGAGACGCGCCAGCAGCGCCAGCAGGCTCATTCCGAGAGGCCTTTTCGTCGCCCTGTCTCTCTCGCACCTCTGCGGGACGCCCCATGAGTGCGAGAGAGGCAGAGCGACTCTCGGCATGAGTCTGCTGCATCACCACCTCCACTGTGGCAGCGCGGCAGCGCGGCAGCGGTACTGGCCGGAGGCTCGGAGGAACAGCCCCGCTAAATATTCAGCAGGCTGGGCACTTGTAGCGCGGTGCCTCGCGGCCCGACGCGTCGCAGGAATCAATTCGAATGCCGAGACAGCGGACTAGACTGATTCCGAGAGCCGTCGTCGTCGCTCTGTCTCTCTCGCACTCGTGGGGCGTCACGTTTAGGTGCGAGAGAGACAGAGCGACGAAAACGACTCTCGGAATCTGTCTGCAGAGAAAGCCCAGCAGGCCGATCCCGCACAATGTTTCGCCGCTCTGGCTCTCTCGCACTCGTGCGACGTCCCGTGCGACGGAAGCGCTGTGCGGAATCGGTCTGCTGGTCGCCGACGACGAGGCGCATCGACGACCAGCCTGGAGGCGACCTGGAGGCGACCTGGAGGCGACCTGGAGGCGACCTGGAGGCGACCTGGAGGCGACCTGGAGGCGACCTGGAGGCGACCTGGGGGCGACCTGGAGGCGACCTGGAGGCGACCTGGAGGCGACCTGGAGGCGACCTGGAGGCGACCTGGAGGCGACCTGGAGGCCATCCGCCGCGGCTCGGTCCCCGCGAAGGCCGGGGCCAAGGCCAACCCGGGGCCAACCCCCACCCTCACTGAAATGGGCCCGGCTCATGTTTACAAACTCGGCGGGGGTAATAAAGCAAGCGGCGGAAGGTGAAGGGGAAGGGGGGGGGACCGCAAACCCAGGCCGTAAAAACGAGGAATTGAGCCGCGCCATCGACAGGCGGGCAGGGATGGGCGTGCCGACGACGGCCGCGGTCCTTTTCAGCAACATCGGCCACCCCGGCCGCGGTTGTCTTTTTCCCTCGAGCGCGAGTCGGAAGGGAAGAGGACATTGTGACGGAACAATGGCGGCATTGTGCCATCGATCGTTTTTCTTTTGGCGAATTATTCCTTTCCAAGTCCGCGGAGCACGCGGAGCCTCTCGACTGAGAAATTGGGGCAGAACGCCGCGGCCGCGACGCGCCGTACGCCCCGGCCGAGCCCGGCCGTGCAGCCAGATTGAAAAACAATCTGATTACTTTCCGCCGCAGCCCTTCCCCTTCCCCTTCCCCCTTCCGCCCCTCTTGACTCGTCTCGTCTCGAGCGGCCTTCGCCCCCTCTGCTCTGACAGAGCAGGGACCGCCGGGTGACCGCGAACTGCGGACGGCGGACCGCACCGCGCTGGAGTGGCCTGTGAGACTGTTTCCGAGAGTCGTCTTCGTCGCTCTGTCTCTCTCGCACCTAAACGGGACGTCCCAAGAGTGCGAGAGAGACAGAGCGACGAAAGCGACTCTCGGAATGAGTCTGCTGGGCAGGCCAGGGACGCCACGCCGGTCCCGCGGACTCGCAGCCCTCTGCGGTCTCGGCCCTTCGCGACGCGGCCGCGCGGCCCCGCGACCCCGCAGCCCCGGAAACAAGACGCCATTCCTCGAGGAGTGTTCGTGTCCCGGCGTCGCGCAGGGTTTTCAAGTCCTGCGCACATTCCCGACGAACTCATAATGAAACTCATCAAACGGCCGGAGACAATATTAGACGGCAAAAATCAAATAGAATCGAGCAAAACTAAAAAGCAAGTCGCGGGCAACCTCCCCCCAGGTCCCGAATGGTCATTGGCGGTGTATTGCCGGCGTTGTCGGCGCGGCCAGCGACCGCGGCCAGAACGCTGCTTGTGCCGCAGAGCCGCGGAGCCGCGGAACGACACAAACGGCCCATTATGAGTCCGGCGGGACCGGCGGCCTGGCCGGGCCTGACAGCTCGGCGGCCGCGCTTCAAAGGGGCGACGTCGGAACGTTGGTCGGTCGGTACCTCGCAGCGTGGTGCCTTTTTTGTATCCGGGCCACTGCGCAGTCACATACACACTCGCTCACTCACTCACACGCGCACGCAAACGCAAACACGCACAAAAGGCACACGCGAGGGCTGAGTGCATCCGCGCAGAGCAACGCCAGGCCACGCCGGATGTGTATTATTGACCAGGCCACAGACCGCGGACGCGGACATGAAAGCCGATAGGGCGAAGGCCCCCCCCCCCCCCGCCCAGCCTTCCCCTGGCCTGCCGGGCCTGCCGGGACCCGGACATGCATCAGCATCAGCCGCCACGGTGCGCCAGGACACCGCAGCACCGCGCAGCACCGCGCAGCACCGCGCAGCACTCAGCATCCTTTCATTCCACCTGTCTGATCGCCATCCCGCCTGCCGGCCCGCTCCTCCCCGCGGGCGTGGCGGGGCGTGGCGTGGCGTGGCGGGGCGCGGCGGCGTGGCGGAGCGTGGCGGGGGAAGGCCCCCACGCGGCGCGGCGGTGCGGCGCCAGGCCGCCAGTGTTGGTGGAGTCGCCCTGCCGCGCGCAGCCCAGTGCCGAAGCCCGTGCCGCCCCTCCTCCGCCGAGCCCCTCGCCGAGCCCCTCGCCGAGCCCCAGCCCGCGCGGACCCCTTGTTGCTTCTCGCCTGGTGGTGCGTCGTCCGCCTCGCCCGCCTCGTCCTGCACGACGGCCTTGTGGACCTGCCAGCCTGCCCGCGGCACGTGCCAATCCGCCCTGCAGCTCGCCGCCGTCGTCGTCACCACCGCGACCCTCTCAACAGGTACGTGCGGACGTTCGCCTCGGACGCCGCGGCCAAGGCTGCGGTGCTGCCGGGCGCTGCATGCATGAGCGATGTGAGTGAATTGCGTGTAGTGCACGGCGGGGTGCAACGG